TCTTGGCACATAAATTGATATACAAAATGATTGATTATAAAAACAGATGGCTATATTTATTAATGAATAAAAGATATAGATCGTCCAAACGTGATTGAAAATGAAAATCATAAATATGCTTGCGTCCTTGGAAAAAATTCTCAAAGTGATTCTTTCGACTTGGCGAACGATGCAAACATAAATCATTCGATGTTTTGACGTCTGTCAAGGTTGTCCCGTTTTGCGCACCATATCATTGAATGTTAGATTCGCGACACATGCGTTTTCTATCTCGGCAATTCGCCGCGAAAGTCGAGAACCTCCGAGGTTTATCCGGGCGCGTTTCGAGAGATCGAGAGATCGTCTCTCGTAAGTATACCGTTATGTACAGGCGAGTACGTGAGTCTTCTGTACTTGTATGTTCGCATACACACAAGTATGCTCGGTACGCCTACACACAAGGGCGTGCGAAATGAAAAAAATGAAAAAAAAAAAAATAAAAAGTCAGAGACACGTTAAGGACGCGCATCGAACTCTCCCGCTGCTTGCTTGTAATACATTCGGCCTCCTTCGTGCTCTCTCTATATACAGACATATACAACCGGCTACCATATAAGGACCTACACACAGCCTTGTTGATGCCTGACCCACCGTTTGAACGTATCTTTCGAAAACCTTTCTCGCGATCCCCCAGGAACGTAAATCGCGGGCCCCAAACTCGACTTCGCTCGGAAAAGTCTTTTTTATTTTATTTTTTTTTAATTTAATATTTATTTAATAGCTTATCAAAATTAAAATTAACAAATACGTAATATTTGATAAATATATTAATATGGTATTTATTAAATTATAGTTAAAATTTCGAAAGAGATAAGGCGCCAATAAAAATTTCAACGATGTATTTATCGTTTACGAAACGTCGTTCATCGTCTTTTAGTCTTTGTTTCTACGTAATCAAAGGAAAAAACAGTCGTACAAAATCAACGGCCTTGCACCGTGTGTCACAATCAGTACCGCGTATATATTGATAATGCCGGTTAGTAATATCCGAGTAGTAGTCCTCCTACGTGACTTCACCCACGTGGAATGCAGACCTTTTCTTACTCCACGTATCTTTTATTCTTACCTGAGAGAGTTTGCTGGCGCATGAGCGAATTCGATGCCGTATCGTTATTTGCTTTCGATGAGTTCTTGCGATGCAAATCCTCAATGATATAAACTATGTAACGCGAAAAAGAAACCATTTCGTATACTTTCAAATCAACGTGGACAATTCGCTTTTCTTCACGCGTGAATAAATTATTATATAATTTATGCAACTTCAGTAATATCAGGACAGATTAATGTAGCCGATGTGTTGCAATATAAATATAAATAATGGAGCGTTATAATTACGGTGACCATCTGTCCTTTATTTCAAGTAACTGTCTTTTAGATTGATCTATTGATTTTTTAAAAACTTAATTTTTTATTTAGCGTTTCATAGTCCAATATTAACGTGAGAATTTATACGAAAACAACGCTACCTGTTTTCTAGGAACCTATTTGAGAAACCAAGGGTTTGTTTTAACATAGTTGAAGCAGTTTCAAGAGATAAGAATGAAGAACTTCGTAAACTTCTGATGGTCACAGATTATTTCTTTTGCTCGTCGATCTCCATTTTGGTAAACTGATTTTTGGAAACATGTTGAAACAAACCTCCAAAATTTTCAAAAATTTGTCCTTTATTTTCTCTTAAAATATAAAATATGTGGTCACAGTAGTTATAATCTTACATGTCGGAAAATGCATTCGCGTACAGAGATTGATTTCATCATCAGAAAACGCAAAACGCTATTAGAAAAGAAGCGCGTGGGAGTAAAAACACCGATCGATACCGATCGCCCACTTATGCGTAATTAGCCTTACGTTCTTATTTCTTTTTTTTTCTTACATTTTTTCACGTTGAGTCAGACGAACTTTTAAGTCTGTCTGAACGTGCGCAATCGCGACGATGATGAGGCGCGTTGGGAGAAAGGGGGTACTCGACGAATGAGTCATTGACAGTTTAATGCGTAAAAGCGTCTCTCCAAGTACTGGATTCAATACACAAGCCATTGTACATTACATATGTATATGATACATGTGCTCAAGTGTACGTAATCCACAGACGCGACGGCGCGACGTCCCGATTTCGTGCCGCGACTATTAATTATTTACATCTCGGAGCAATGTTTGGCCCGATATTGCCGGGGGAGATTGATTTCTCCCTCTGAGGAGGGAGACAAACTTGGTGATTCAATGCGAAAGATATATAGAAACCTGAATCTTGTAAAAAAGGGACACCGTACAATTCTTATGGAAACTGGATTTCGATGGAATTGGCTAATTTTTGCATAGATTGTGTAGTTTGTGATCTACTGAACAGAAGATGTAATAGCTTCAAAGCTATTGTTTGATAAATCAGTAACTATCTGTTATTTAGTTGTAAATCTGTATTACATGCTTTACTCAGCGGATCATAAACTACAACATACCAGAGAAAATCAGTTGAGCTTACCAAGATTTAATTTTATATAGGGTCAGATTAGATAGCGGGAATATGAATCTATATCAAATCGTAGATGAAATTGAATCCCGATAATATCAGCTAGTTTTTTCATTTACTGAACAAAAAATGTAATAGGCTATTACATCTTTTCTTCAGCAAGTCATAAGCACATAAGAAAAAACCAGCTAATTTCACCAATTTCCATAAGGATTGTGCGAGGTCCTTTCTTTATTTTTCTTTGGAAAATTATTTCTGAAAATTATCTTTTTATTTGAAAAAATGGTTTAATTATACTATGAAAAGTATCTTCTTTTTGCGACAAAATTTTCACTCGATTGAGGCGTAATTCAATTTCAATTTGATGTAATACTACGACGAAAAGAAGGAAAGAATCTCGACATCATCGTCAACATATTTATCAGAGAGTCCCTCTCCCGGTGCGTCATTATCGTAAATAACGAATGATGGGTGCGGACGAAATCAGCTGTAGCAGCTGTAATATCTTGCACGAGTGGTAGCACGAAGTAAAAATATATTTGATTCTCCTACTGACACGAATATGAAAATGCGCAAAGATTATTATCAAAGACTTTATTATTCACTAAATTAAACGCTGTACCTTCAAACTTGTCTCATATAATGATCGCGTTACTACCGTCTCGACCATAAGTAGACCATGATTAATTAATTAATTTTCACGTTTTAGAAAATATCTGACAATGAGAAGTATATATATGTTTTTTTTTATTTTAATGACCGCAACTTTAACAACGACACGAAATCACTGTGAGAGAAATGTGACAAGAAAGTGTATTAGAAGGAAACGGAGACCGGAAGCAACGAACCACCGTTGTTTCCGCTGCGTGACACATACATACATAAATGTTAGTCGTCGGTCGAGCATCTATACGCTTTTAATCTGAAAAAATTAGATTCTTCAACCATTCAATTTTCAATATTTCTTCTTTAGCGCTCTTTTATCTCTTTCCTCCTCTGCGCAATTTACAATGTAATGATATCCAAGAAAATCGTTATTAATTTTGTTTTTATTTTTTTATCTTAAATGTAATCCTATAACAGTTTTTAAAATTTAATACAAAATTAAATATCATCTTACATATTATTAAAGGGAGAAGATATGATATTTTTGGGACAAAATAAAAAAATTATAAAATGTGCTGGATCTTAAAAAATACAAATCTTATAAGGATTAAAGATTCGCGATATTATTCACCTATTTATTTTGGATTTCTCTTGATTATTTCGATTCAAGTCGTCGACGGAATCTCGCAGTCCAGAAAATATTCGCGAATAAAGTTCCGCTGCATCTGCGACAATGCGATGCGCAGTTCCGACGTTGTCGATAGCTTCATTCGTAACAGCTTCGTTGGTATTCAATAGCAATCGCTGTTGTCAGCGCGAGCCGGATTGCTGGTGGTGCGGTTTAACAAAGAAAACTGCCACACCGTTCGCTGACGATTGGAAACACCGGCGACGTGGCGCGTTCCGTCTCTTTCTCTCTCTTATCAATATATTCACCTTACGTAGGAATGATTGCCGTGTATACCTAATAACACGGGACATATCTTGCGCACTGTTCCGTTACTCGTCGTTCTCCCCAGGACGTCAAATTGATATAAGCAGGTGCTCCTGCAGAAGGCGTCAGAACGCAGCCTTCACTTCCGGGTTTGGCATTTTCGGGTCGGACACGTCGTGTCTAGACTGTCGGTTCGAGAAAGGAAGCATTTTTTTTTTTTTTTTTTTATAAAGAATATTTGATTCAGCTATTCTGAGTCAGTGAGATAAAAATATAAAATTAAGATATCTGTTTTTCGATGATGCAGAAACATCTGCGGACGTGATGTGTCGACCCGAAAATGTTAAAGACATTTTTGATGTCTGCTGTTATAAACGACTCTTTTATATTATTATCATTATATATAGAGAGAAATATGAGAGAACTCGAACATTAATACACAAATTTTCTGAAATTTTTTCTAAAGATTATACGAAATTGCACATCAGTGATGATCAAATACTCGTTTTTTTCTATCATGATGATTATGATTTAATTAAAATTTGAATCATCATAAAGCAGCGATAAACTAAAGAAACTATGCTACTATGTAGAAAGATGATTAAATTTTATTATTTTTTTCACGTCATGCGTTTAAGAAGAAGAAAGACGATCACATATTTGAGATTTGTGTCATATATTGATCGATATTAATCGATCATCGTATTTCGGGTTATATAACAATTACTTATTTGAACATTAACATTTTTGAACACAATTTGAACCTTAAATTTGTCAAAAAACTTAAAGTATTAAAATTATTATTACATGTTTACAGAACATAGAAAATATGAATTAATAAAATATTCACGAGACTATTGAAGGATTGATATTGCCATTTAATCTATAAATTCGATTTGCTCGAAACGTATCCGACGAAGAAGTTATTTTTCTAATAATATTTCTGTCTTACAGATTTAAAAGTATAAGGCTGAACCATGTCGAGTCCATCGTTGAAGGATCTGCCCAAAGTAGCCTTAGACCTTAAAAGCGAGCTGGAAGGTTTCAATCATGGATGTATGAAGAAAGCGGCTACTGCTGAGAAGAATGTTTTACCTTCCGCCGAAGGTGTGTAAAAGTATTACATCTCTCCGATTAACACTGCTCGAAAGTAATTAATTTTGTGTCATCTCACTTTTACGTTTTACTCACAGTGTGTTTAAGATTTGCTCATTGTATATTAGATTTGATCATTTTACTTTTGCATTTACACTCTCTATTAATTCCATGGTTAATAAAATTTGATTAATTGATGTATTAATATGTGTTTATGTGTGTTTGAGTTTGATATTTCTCATTAAATTACGAGATGTTTTTCAAGTGAGGTTCGATCAAACATTAAAAAAAATAAAACAAGAAAACTTTTATTACTGATGCAACACTTGTACATGTCTATTTTTCTACGTCATCACTATTTCTTTCTAAACATTTTTAGTAAGGAAGAATAAATTGGCTGAACTCTACGGGAGCGGATTTTTATACAGAGGACATAAAAAAGCTTTTATTTCTTGATACCAAAAGTACTTAGAAAAAATGATGACTACGTGGAAATATAAAGATATAAGAGTACAAGAGTTGTACCAGTAATAATAAATTATCTCTTATTTTTTTTTTCTTAATGTCCGATCGTACCTCACTTAAAAACAATATTTTTATGTATATATTGCACACAAATTTTTTACCGTTATATTACTTTTATAATCAAAATTTTTTGAGAAATTATGTTCATATTAATACCTCACAAAATCTATGCACAAGTCTTCATTTAGGTACGCATCTGCCCTTAGGTGCATTTAGCGCTAAACGTGTGCACGTAGTAGATTCCAAATAATGATTGAAATAAAAATTTTGCGTTTATCCTTTATTCAAATCGGACACACGTTTAGCGCTGAATGCAGAGCGCGAGGAAAAATTGAGGCGCGAGCGGAGCTCCGATAAAAACGACAGCAGCTGCAAATAAAAATGTGTGAATTGCTGACGTAGACGTACGACAGGAGCGGCAGCACTCTGAGTTGATACATGGCCTGGAGACTTTTAAGGCAGATCAGTTGAAGCATGCCGACATGAAAGAGAAGATTGTATTGCCAAACGCTAAAGGTATTGAAACTGGAACCTGGAGCTTTTGGGTCGTCGCCCAAATTGATCATTTCACGCTGTGAAAATACACAGAACGACTGTCGCTTTTGGGATATGATTAGTCGCATACAAAGCCTTACTAACAGCCAGATTAAAGGAAACTGTGATTGTGGTGGTTTTGGTGATGGTGTTTAGACCATTTCGCTTATCTTGTTTTTCCTTGCCTCCTTAACTTCTTGCTATATAATTTTATGAGACAAAATTTAGAGCGGGTATTTTCAAGATAGTTTCTATAGGCAACTCTACATGCACGGCTTCCTAGAGATTCCTTCTATTTTCTTATTTTATACGGATTCCTTGATTCGATTTGAAATTGACACTTTCTTGTGAAATATTGCGAAACTGAAAGCTTTCAAGTTTGAAATTACTATAAATTTTCAAAACTTTTACGAATTATATATCTAATATAGATTAAAATAACAAAAAAATTGCTATTAAATCAGATGTTCTGAGATATTTCTATGTATAGCAACAAGTTAAACTAATATTCAAGAAAATAAATTCAAAAACATAGATAATAACTTGCTTTGTATATTTAAAATTTATTAAGAAATTTTAATTTTTGCTAACATTTTCGAGATTTTAATTTAAAAATTCGAATACAAGACGTAATTTTGCCTTATGGAAAGGCATAAATTTTATCTACGTGAAGCATTAATAGCCAAGCGCCTTATAAAGAAAGGACGACGAACGGTACTAGTCATTGATTGATCGATTGCGCGGCGTATAAATCGCGTGCGAATAATTTTTGAATTTATTCCTCGCTAATCCTCGCATTCTCGAAACCAGGCCATCACAGCTGGATATAGTAAATCTATATCAAGGCAAGGTGACACGCTTCTCGATTCAACAGGTGTAATTATTATTTATCGCCGTTTCTGAGATCGATCGTTCTACTTGCAGATGTTGCCGCGGAGAAGACCCAGCAAACACTGATTGCCGGAATCGAGAAGTTCGACACCGCGAGTCTGAAGCATACCGAGACCCAGGAGAAGAACCCACTACCTGATAAAGATGGTACAATATGAGTCAGACTTTTAAATTGACTTATGTACAGAATAAACTCCATCAAATAATAGGTGAATTAAAAGCGAGTAGGAATTCATCTTATGAAAAACTGAATTTCTAATCTTTCAAAGCAGAAGTTAGTTTTAAAGTTGGTTTTAAAGCCCATCCTTCTATTTTGTTCTATTCCTATGGTTTATCTTAATTTTATGATGGAGATAAAATATTTTATTTCACTTATTGCAGCGATCCAACAAGAGAAGGGGAAGCAACAGCTGATCTCTGGAATCGAGAACTTTGATCCGGCGAAGTTGAAGCACGCGGAAACCCTCGAGAAGAATCCTCTGCCCACCAAAGAAGGTATGTACCTTTTTCGTTCTTGATTCTGGAATCCATTCGAAATTGGTCGTTCACCGAGACATGGTATTCGGCGATGTTTTCAGCGATCGACGCCGAAAAGATAGCCGCTTAGAGAAGCTGCCGCCGACGAAAACGAACGAAGGAAAGGAACGGGGACGTCGCCACTCATCGTTTCTTCCATTTTCTATATCCGTGACATTTTATAACAATTATTCATACATTGCCAAGGAAAAAAAAGCGCGAATGCGAAGCACTGTATTAGTATCGTAATGCTATTATACTTATCCTAGCGTCGGTAATCGGCGTGTTTTCCTTCTGGCGAGAGATCAGAGGACTCTCTCGAGCCAAAAACGTCCAACGTCGAATCGGGTGGTCGATGAAACGATAACCGCTTTGCTGCCTGTTTCCTATCTCGGTACACAAAATATCCCGAGAGACAATTCGACAACAATCAGACAACGACGAGAACGGATCTAAGTAAATGTAAATCCTTGTCTCGCACTAAGCTTTTTTTCTAACTTGTCCCTTTTTCTCTCTTACGTCTATTCTTCTCGTTGCTAAATATATGGCAAAATATCACAGAGAGATTGTCTAAATTCGGCTGCTCAACTAGAGAAAAAAAACATTCTTATAAAAGAAGTTTTTTTTTTAGTAATGGCGAATTAGAAATCTTACTTTGCGCGAGACGGGGAGGCCTAAACTCAAAAAGATCGCGGAATTGTCGTCTTCTCGCCGAAGGATGTAGTTCTTTTTTTATACCGAGAGAGTTGCACGCGCGGGCACATTCGTTATTTTCGATATAACAGGCAAAAGAATCGGTGGCGTTGTATGATGATGCGATTACAACGAACATCGTCGAAGCACATACATACGCAATGGTCTTTTTGATCTTATATATTTATGTAAAAATCATATTTTATACAAACGGGCTATTGTACTTTTTTAATATTTCTTACACATCGCATTGTCATTCCGATGAATTTATTACGAGAAATAAAAAAAAGTAATTTGTACAAAAATCTGTCGATATCCATTTTCTTTTTCTCGGCCCTAATTAAATTATATTAACTTCAACTGAAAATTTTTATGTATCAGTTTTATCTACATGTATAGGTATAGAAATTGTTTATATATTAATACGCATATATGCTTTATATTTGGCAAATTGCTTCTGAACTTTATTTGTCGTGTATAACAATATTTTTGATCATATTTGGCGTTAAATGAAACGTCAAGAATATTATTATTATCATTATATTATTATTATAGTTATATTACATTAATTATTATTATATTAATAATTTTCTGTATATGATTTCTCTTTAAGCAATATAATATATATGATAATCCACAAAATCATGCTTTTAATGAAGCACAGATAATTTTCAAAATAATCAATGTCAATTATAAGATAAAGTCTTTTTACAAGATAAACGTAGGATAGAAAGAAACGAATTTTACGATACATATTTCCTCAATAATTATTAAATTAATGTGTACAAAAGAGAAAAATATTTATAAGATTAATATACATAATACATTAATTACGTAAGACGCGCTATTAAAATATTTATAGAATACCTTTTCTCCGTAGAGAAATTGTTTTGAAAGTGAAATCGAAACTAAAAGTCAAATTGAAAATGCCGCGTAGTTATCGAGTCTCATGGCGGCGAGGAGGGGAAATGAAACGTCTTCAGCCAATCAAGCGCGTCTCTTTCAGTGGTGAGTTAATAGCCATGGTAGGAGAACACTTGCTTCTACAGTGCGCGCTTTTTTTCTTCGTCTATTTGACCTGTGTGTGTATTTATTTCGCGAGGGCTCTTTCCTCCTCGCCAGAGACACAGGGATATTGCGTGACGACATCCGATAATCCGATCGAATCTCCAGATCTTCACGTCGCCAGCGAAGTGGGTAAGTGAAATCGCTAGACGTATTATGGTCTATCTGCCGGTCATCCACTGTGCAAAATTTTTTTTCGCGATTCGTTTCGAAAATCGCAAAATATTGTAAGGCGATCGGACGAGAAATATACAGGTGTGCAAGTCGACAGGATCGCTAAGCGATAATTTTGCGATCGCTATCGGGCTCGTATATATGCATCGTGCAACAGGTGAGTCGATTTGAAACTCATCGTGCAAAAAAGGCGAAAAATAATGGCGAATAGAATGGGCGGTAAGAAGGTAAAAAGGAGGCAGGACGAAAATATTGCGTTTGAAAAAGTCAAATGATCGTTGTTTGACGAGAGAATCCCCGACTGTCGTTTCGCCGGTGATTACAGGAGATAAGGTAAATTTATAAGTGGATTTTTTGTCTCGGTCTTCCTCGACGAATTTTCCAATTTCCCTTTCGTCGAATTTCTCGACCTTGAGCAAAAGGATTCGCTGATATCTGTTTATTATATTGCCTATTATTCAAAGTATGTGTTTGTGTATACATGTTACATATGTATTTGATAATTTCTCGAGGTATTTCTTTGTCCTTTGTGTAACTATTATAATATACCTACTGTGTCTTTGTGTGGCGAAATTTTTCCGACAGATTAAAATTAATTTTTAAATAAATGTTACTTTGTTTCAAAATTGAATACGAAAAATATTGTCGCTTTTATTCTATTTTTTTAATTTTATTTTTTTTTATTTTTTTATAGTTTATAATTCATTTTATGACTCATTACTTGCATGATGTTTGATTGCAAAAATTTAATTTAATGTTTAGATTTTTGATCTACTTTATGTATTGCGTATATTTTATACATACAAAATAAAATTTATTTTGTTTTGCAATCATTTATTTTATTTATATAGTGTTTCTGTTTGAAAATATATTTTACATAAAATAGAAACTGATGATTCTAATTTTAGTAGATCACACAGTAAGATAAATTTTTAATTTATAATACGAAATAAAACAATTTTAAAGGTCAATTAAAATCTTATGCCATGATAAAATAATAAATTTGTATGATTCATTAATTATGAAACGTTAGAATAAGTTTTTCACTGTTATTTTACTTTGTAATAACATATTTTATTTATGCAATATTTTTTGTAAAGCAGATACATATTCTGCTTGTTTATATTTTTTAATTTTTTTGTGTTTTAATTTTAATAAATGAATTTAAAGCTGATAAATCAGTTAGCAGTAGAAGAAACCTTGATATTTCATGTATTTATTCTCAAATATTGCTAATCAATATCATATATTATATATAATATTGATTAGCAATATTTGAGAATAAATACATGAAATATCAAGGTTTCTTCTACTGATAACTGATATTCTTGCTTATAATTATTGTTGACAAAGATACATTATTAAAAGATCAATTATTAAATAAAAAATAAAATTTATTATTATGAGTATAGGGTTTAATGAGAATCATTGTACTTTATGTGAGTTATTTTTTTGATAGCTCATCTCTTTAATTCCTTTTTTAAAAAAAATCTTTAAAAAAGAAAGTGGTCATTCTAATATTATACTATGCTATTTAGCATAAAAATATTACGTAATAATAATATAATATAAAAATGTAAAATAAAGAAATTTGTGGGCATGTTCCGATATACACTCAGTATTGAAGAGCTATAGTTTACGTTACATATATTATATATTTTCAGTACTTGGCAGTAATATTGGAACATGCCCTGTAAAAGATATAAATGTTTAGCGCATCTAGACACAGTTCAAAATTTTTAGCAGTCTGTTGAACCAAGACACGTATGGTGATATCAACTAGAAGAATGTCGAAACGACCACTGGGGCCAGTGGATCAATGGCTGGCTAAGGAAGGTTACTTCAGAAAGCCCACTCCCAGAGATCCAACCTGCTTATTCAGAGCAATCAGCGAACAAGTGTATCACACTCAACATTATCATTTGCGAGTGAGAAAAGAATGTACAGATTTCATGAGGAAAAAAAGGCACTTGTTTAGTGATGTAAGTTTTTTATTTAAGTCTAAATATTTAAATCTAAGTATTATCTATTTCATGCAGTATTGTTCTTCTATTGAAAAAAAATTAGGATATCTTTTTTCCTTCCCTTCTAGAGTATGACAACATCATTTGATTATTATCTGAAAGAAATGCAGTGCTTCACATCATGGGGAGGACCAACTGAGATTCGTGCAATGTCTATGCTTTATAAAAGAGACGTAGTCATATTTGTTGGCGAGAAGCAGATATGCGATAATTTTACGAATTATAATTTCAAAAAAGGCCTTATATTGTTATGTCACACAGAACCGAAACAATACGAGCCTGTTTACCCGATGGCTTTTGTCCAATCGGCTGCTTACTGTCAATGTATGTAGGCATTTTCTATTGACATGTTATGGCAAGAGTTTTTTTTTCTTTAAATTGTTTTTTCAAATAATATTTCTTTTTTCTTTATAGCTATTGTTTATGAAGTTGTATATAAATACATGTACCAAATGCCTAACATAAAGACTGTTGCGGATAAAATGCTGCATAATCGAAATACTGCAATTAGACATGACAAATTTTTTCAGAAGGGAAATTTTGATATTAGAGAGTAAGTCACTTAATTATATATTAATTTCAATGTGTATTATGATTGCAATCTGAATATTGAATATTAAAAAGTAAATTATTAATATAAATAGTAAAGTATAAATTATTATTTTTTTCGAATGAAATATCTTTATATTTAGACAATTGATTGAAGATTTATATAAAAAAGTCAATGAACATAATGATAGTTCGGATGAAATGCAATCTGACTGGAAGGGAGGACCACCTATTCCTTATAAAGTTGCTAAAGCGCTAGCTCCTGATTATTATCGCAACATAGAATTGGACATATGGCATGAATTGAAACGAGGTAATATATATATATATATATATATATATATATATATATAAATATATGAGAAAAATCATAATATTTTTTTATACTCTTGAATGCACACAAAAGCAGAATATTTGAAAATAAAATTATTTGTATACAGAGGTAAAATCCGCAGGCTGGAACAGGTACAATAGTAATGAGCTTCAAGTCGGTGGCGAATGTTTGATAGAAATCAATATAAATGATCTAGAACAATGTGACAGAAATAATAACAAAAAATTGCTCGCTAATTCGTCAGATTGTGGTGTTAGCGAAAGTAACATTGAGAGTAGTAAGCAGCAGAAATTGAAGCAGGGGTCTCTGGGGCTTCAGGGTTATATACAAGAAATGCCTACAAATAAAGAACCAGTTCTAGTCTTCATCAAAGATCTTGGAGAAAAAAAGTTAGTGCCATACGATGCTCTGAAACCACTACCTGTAGTGAGGAAAAATAAGCAGAGAAATTGGGTGACAGTCAATAGAAACCATACAGTTAATTCGGATTCAAGTTAGTTTATTTAATCATTTATTCTGATATCTGTATATAGCAAATTGATCTTTATTTTTGTATCTTATTAGATCGACGATGGAAAAAATACAACTCATTCTCACGAAAGAAGAAAGATGCCATAAGTGTGGCACATGGAACAAGTAATACAAATAAAAATATATTAACAAATAATGATGATAATAATAATAATGTTGATAGTGATAATATCAACGATATCAATAAATCTAGAATTGACGAGCAGAATGACGAACTTTCGTAAGTATTTTGATTGCAATATATAAAATTACAACATATAAAAAATATAACAGTATAAAAAAAGAAAAATAATTATATAATAAAGTATAAAATAATTGTATAGTATAAAATATATATTGCATTTAAAAAATGTAATTTAAATTCTTTTATATCTTATAATTAAATTTGCTTACAGTACAATAGATCGATGCCAAACAGAAAATCAGTCTGTAGAAGATTGTTGTAATCGTGCGACAAATGTAAGCGAGATTTTAACATTGTGTTCAAAAATATGAAAATGCTTTTTCTTTATTTTTTATCTATATCTCATTCATAGGTGGAAGCTAATAATTTACCTGCGGTGATTGCCCATTCACAATCCACATTGCCAAACAGTGAATCGCAGAAAGTAGAAGAAGAGCATAAAAAAACAGTATATAGAAAGGTGAACAATACTCCAAGAAACAAAACTGAAAGATTTAATTATCGTCGTAATAGTCTTCAGAATTCATGCTCAAAATTAAAAGCGTTGGATGAAAATTATTGTTCACCTTGCAATAGTAAGTACTCTCAAGACTCTTGGTGTTTCACAGATATAATTTTTAATTGTAAAGTGAAAAATCGTATTTTTCTCTTGCGCATTATACATCGAAATAAATTAATTTCTTACGTGTCATCATGCAATAGTGTAGATTAATACAATATTTCAAACATTCTTACGATTCATAAATTATTAAAAAAAGCAAAGTTACAAATCTTCTGACATGAAAGTTTGATCATTTGCTAAAGTCTATTTACATTTGGAAAGAATTGTTAAAATAGGCCTTAAAATTTGCCTGTAGGAAAGATGTATTGAAATATATATATTATATATATTTTTTACACTCTTATTTTCAAAAAAGTAACTTGAATTTTTGAGGTCATGTGACAGTAGATTTTCGATTGGTAAAAACTGTGAAAATACGGCAGATAATTAAGAATTTATTAAACTCAAAATTATCAATAAACAAACTTTTTGTTTCACAATTACAATTTACTCATTAGAAAATATATAAAATAGGATTTTTTCTAGAAAAACTGGTATTTTCACAAAGTTTACTAATTTTTAGATAATTTTAAACTTTGTTTTCTTTCATATTATAGAGTATTTTAGACCAATTTCATACTTATCAATTTGTAAAACAAACATTAAATAATTGGCGATCGACGCTACCGCTACAATATTGACATATTATATCGATATATTATTGATACTATTGAATATAGAGAATTTTAATTAGTTTTTTTGCAAAGTTCATCGAAATCTTTAGCTTTCTGCCAGCCAATAACTGAAATTATATTAATTCCAGGTAACCAACAAATCAATATGGGTGGCAATCCAAATGTATCTTATGTTATCACCGATAATGGCAGTACATATCCCGTTTATTCATATGTACCAGGAAATTTCGGAGAACATAATCAAATGGATCGTACGTATTATATTACGAAAGAAAATATAGTTGCGATCATATTAACTTATATACACGTATATATGTATAATATTAGTTACGTATCCGCATCACTAATCATATCTTTTCACGAATAATACTTCGTTTTTTTCCCCAGATACATTCGCAACTAATTTCTTTTATAATCTGCATCTACTACACTTGGAGGTATTGTAGTAACATATTGATAGAAAAAAATGTCCTGTAATTTATCATACATTAAAACTAATGCATTTTTTTACAGGACAATTTTCGTTTAAATCCTACTTATTATGGACCTATGATGTATGGACCAGGTCATCATGGTGTGCAATCATCTGAAAATGCTCATATGAATAGTAATTTATAAACAGCTGTATTAAAATTAATATTGTAATACTGTCATTAATAATGTCATTAATAAATTTGTCTAGATGTGCCATGTGCACAAGACGAGATGGACCATTTTGTTAATGGGATGCAGAATTGTTCGTTAACATATAACGAAGGAACAGGTGCTAATGATGAAGCTTCCAGCACTTCACATTGGAGCATGAATGGTGCACAAAATACAGGCCAGCCAAAACAAGGATCAAAAAGTTTGAGTGGAAAAGAGCCTTCATATCAAGTTGTGCAGAAAGGAAAACAGCCTGGAACTGCTAAAGGTAATAACAAAATTATAGATTTAAATTTCAGGTTTTCTCTTTAGGATAATTGAGTTCATTTTCTAAAAGAAATGTTTTAGATCTATCAGATTTAATCTTTACTGATTTGCATTCTCGAGAAAGTATAAAATATATACACGGGATGTTTTAAGTAATCAAAAATTCTTTGACAAATGCTTAGTGAGAATATTGATGCTTTCTAAAATAGATGCTCTTAAACTTTAAAAATATATACCAATTATTTTAAGATGAAAATAGGTCATGTAAAAATGAGTTTGAAAACTTTCTGCTTAAATTATAAACATTTTTTCATTGCGATAAAGTTTTATTAAACGTTTTTGTGGCAATTTTATAAAAATGTGATGAACATTTTTCTTAATTAAGGGTCAGCTGTTCTACTTTTTGATTAGTTTTATCCGACAGATCTTTGTTTCTTTTTGAGAATTTATCTAAAAATATTACAGAAATATACTACCTGTCGGGTAAAATTTACCAAGATGTTAGAACAAATTTCCGATATTAAAAAATTTACAGTTATTACATTATTGTCAATAATGTTAGTATCAAATAATATAAATCATATGTGTATATTTAAAGTGTTTTTACAAAATTTTTTGGAAAAAATTTATAAACACACTTGGGAAGAATGTATGACACTATTACTCATATGATCTTTTTTTATCTTTAGAATAAAAAGAATAAGCCTCTAAAGTTTTAGCTATTTTGAAATCAGTATAATTCTTACAATTAGTCAATAATTGTTACAAAAATACTATGCATGTCATACTTTTTTCAATTTTTTAAAATTCTTCTCAATAATACAATACAAAGAATAAAAGTGAAATTATATACAGTCAAAAAATTAAAAAAGTTCGCGAATGAAAAGTTATAAATAGTAAATAGAAAACTTATACAAAACCTAAATATATTAATTTATGTCCCTGTCGATGAGAAATCTCAATATTTTATCCGAAAAATTGTGATCAGATAATTTGAATAAATTCCTTCACGTTGATGTCTTTCAAAACACAAAGCAGATATCAGTGATGAAGAAAACAGTTAGAATTTAAAATTAAAATCCATCTAGAAAATATCGGAAAAGTGATAAATTCAAAAAATACATTGAATTTACAAAAATTCAGTATGTAACATTAATAAAAGTTAAAGTTTACCAGAGGTATAACCCAAACCAACGAAAGAACGAGACAAGAAGAAAAGATTAACACTTGGCACTTATATAGAATAACGATAGCGAATTGTTAACTGTTAACATATTTGTTTTGATTTGTATTACTTGTATAATTTCATTGGTTAATTTCTTCAACACTATGTGCGAGATCGAGATATCAATCTTTGGTAAGATTTAATTATTTTACTTCTAAATTACTTTTATTTTTAATTGCATATATTTGTATTGTATATCTTTCCATTTTAATACTTAATTGTTTATCAAGATATTTATTTATTATCATAATCTTTTCTTTTTCTTTTACCAATTCTATTTTCTAGATTATTCTTCGAGTATTTTCTAGATTATTCCGATTTTAATTTTAAATAATTCTTGGTTTTTCTTTGTTTTTAATTATTGAACTTTATATTTTGAAAAATACGTGACACATGAAAATACCTCTTCTTTAATTTTAATTATAAGTACTTGAAACTTAGGTATTTCTAAAACGATCAACAATTAATACATTGAGGTCGTGTATTTTTTCAATTTTTTAAATTGTTTATATATATATATATATATAAAACTTTATTTTTATTTTGTATATTGAGATAGATCTTAAAAAGGGTGTTGAAAAGACTTGAAATGTTATATATTATTTTTGTAATAATTATAAAATAATTATATGCCAACATCTGCAAATCGGTTTTAATCAGTTTTTTATTATTTAAGGAATAAACTATATTACAGTTTTATTTTATATTTATTTAAGTTCTTTATATTTTTTATTTTTTATTCTAAATTAATTTTGTGTACTATATTTTCATTTTTCTACGCATGCATTAAACAATTGTGAATACGAATGGCATTGAAAAAAAGTTTTACAATCGCGAAACTTAGGAGTATCACATTGATACTCATTTTCACATTACACGTACCTTTCTTCATATAATGTAATCTTCGAGATGGTTGATTTGAACTTCTCAGTTTTGCGAATGTCTTCGAGGATGACATGGATTAAAAAATACTTATTTATTTCCCAAACAGGCATGGGCAATAGGGCACGAAATCGTCAGCAAAATCGAGGCTCGACGTATTCGACGCAGCAGCACATGGGTCAGCATTATGGCGGGACTTCGGTGAATACATACGATACGCGTAGAGACAACACACACGTGGTACAGCATAATCGATCTTGGGATCCGATGTTGCATCAGGTAGCACCGAATACTTCTTCAAACGCTTACGGATCACCGCAATATGCTCCATCACCGGGCGCATTCTCCTCTCCGATGCCTTATCACGAACTCTCGTCGCATTATCCAACAAATGATGGTATTTTGAATGCTTCACCATACTACCCACCAGGAAACGGTAACTATGTACCGGTACCACCGTATTTACCGCCGCCTCAGCACGTCGACACAGCCGAGAATGCAACTGTATCGTCATATCCGCAACATCTTTACTCGCCAACTGAAAATCTTTACCCACAAAGTCATCCACAAACTACAGGCCAACCGATGCTATATTCTCAGCCCATGATGTATCCTCAGCCAATGCAGTACCATCCTCTTCTCCCACCCGTCCAAGAACAGTGGAATCCAATGTTAGGAGCACAGCCATATGTACAATGCGCAGCTTCTGCTCCGGTTCCGCCACAAGCGCAAATCGCCGAGCCGTCCTCTAATGGACAATGTACCACTACTCCGAAAGATTCGCTTTAAATCATACGTGATATAGAGATCGAAGACTGAAAACTAACTATAAGATTCAACTTTACTGCAGTAACAAGTGAGAGTAACACTTAAAGCCATTAATCACATAGTTTATTTACTCGAAAGAGAGATTTTGAAGACTGAGAGTATAACTATAAGACACAAAATTTATTGCAGTAAAATTTAAAAATAACTATAGATTAAAATTAACTATTGTAAGCAGTAATTTTGAAGTATTTATAGAGATTCAGATTAATTATTCTAAAAAAATAAGAGCAAAATGTGAAGCAAAATTGCTTGCGATTCCTCATTCTAATGTCATCGTCAGAAGCCAAACAAGATCGTTCACTGTGATTTTCTGTAATTACCGTCTCGTATACAAAACTTTATATGATATACAAAACATATATTTAAAATATGAAGATATTCTCTTTTTACGAATTATGTACATGGGCGAATTTAACCGCTAATAGATTAACCTGTAAAAAAAGTGTCAGCTTATAATTAATAGCTTAACATATTATTAGAAAGAGATCAGCAATTGAAAAATTTAAACATCTTTTGAGACATGACATTCAGACTTATTAAGAAAAACAAAACTGAAAATTTCACGCAGCTCAACATTCTTTAACATATATAGACAATATATTTAACATTTTATTCATAAAAGAAAATCCACGCATACAATAAAATATGGCAGATTTGTCATAATAAAATTCTGCTTTTCTCTTCCTTGTACAACTATTACATTAGTGTTATTTGTCGATACTTTAAATCACTCAAAAAAAAAATATGTTACTGTTATTCATTATGATTATTCTATATTATAAATGTTTTTCATATTATAAGTAAGATATCGCGACAAATATCGTATCTTGTTAGAACACGATAGTTATTAATCCTTATTGGGATTATGAATAAACTATTATTATTATCAAATCATTATTATAGTTATTATATAATTATTTCGAAAATTTAATAAGCAGAATATTCGGGCCTAAATATATAATCTTTAGAATAAGTCTTTAAGTCTATATAAGTTTAAGATCTTGTATAATCTGTTAGTAATATTAAGTTTACTAAAGTTCCTTACAACATTTATACAATTTTTACTTAAGATTAACCTTTATACAATTTTTGCTAAATCTTTGCGAATAAATGATACAAATTAATCGTCTTCCATTGTTACATTCTTCTATTCGTTCGTGAAATAAATAAAAAAAAGCAGGTAATTTGAAATATTAATAATTTTCATACATTTTAATATACACAATTTTAATTTTATATACTTTCTACATTATCTATTATCTAAGCATGAATTAGTATTATTTTTTCGTTCAAAATTAAAATATCTCATTGTCAGTAAAGTCGAAATTTGTATAAATTTAACGAAAGGAACAAATTGCCGAGCGAGATTCATTGAATCTTAGACTGTCAACAATTGAATCTCGCTACGATGACGACGCAACTATTGAGAGAATTATCGTGTTATATTGCAATCGACAAATGAACCGTGTGACCTCGTCAATACAGACATTAGTAATATTATCTGAAATTTCTGTAAGTAATAAGTATTTCAAAGAGATTACGTAATGCATCAGAACGCTCACTCCGATTAATCTTATCAGAGAAGGAAATGTTACAAAAATGTATTCTTTTTTTCCAAATTTTATTAATTGAAGTAATTTACTTACAGAAGCTAATTTGTGGCGGATGACTGTCATCGTCATGTTTACACCCTTACTACACATATAATAAAAATATTATATAATAAAGAGATCGATATCACTTTTTAATGACACAGATTACGAGAAACGTGAAGATCATCTCGTGTTATCGTAAAAAGAATCTATGTTAATGATTGTTAAATCATTAAAAGTTCAAAGGATAAATTATACAAGATGACAAAGCTTTCATTATTTTCTCGCATATCTACTATCTATAAAGTGATATTACAACTCTAAAGTGTTTATTAGTTGTTCAAAGATTTGTCTTTATAATATAATATATTGATTATAAATATATAATTATAATATATATAAAATTGTATTTTATATTTTTTACAAATAATATTTTATTGAGATATATTATATATTTGTATTATATATAATACGTATTATTATATATAATACATCGACATTAAAATTTATCAGTTTTCTTGAAAGAATACATATCATTTGCACTTTTGTAGTTTCTAGTTTAAAATTTGGACATTTTGATGCAACGTACGTCGATTTTCTCTTTTCTATACTTTATTCACACTCACATAATTGAAGTTAATTAAAATCACGATCGAGTGTCTCTTTAATTCCATAATTAAAGAGACAGATTTACTTAAATTTCGATTAATCAGTATTTATAAAATTAGTTCTATAAATTTGGACGCAGAATCGCTTATTATTTGATTTGATGAACTCATTAATTATAATAATTATAATAATAAATAAACATAATTATTTATATATTCAAGCATCAAAGATTATATTTTTAATATAAATTATTTTCATATATTTAATGCACATTTCTTTTTGAAAATATCATTATTTAGTTTAGAACAATAAAAAAGAAATTAAAAAAATAATAAGAAATCTATTTAATATTAGATTATATTGATAGAAGTTAATGTGCATTCAATAAAATGTATATCAACGATTAATAGTATAATGTATACTATTAGAAATGTATTTAAATTTGTAGATTTATGTGTAAATATATTTGATAGGTACGCTATCGAAACAAAGAGATACTCCAGTTAGTTAATATAAAATGTAACAAATTCAGCGATTAATTGTTAAACGAAACCGAATATTTTTTTTATATGTAGGTATATTTCACAGAAATTCTAATATCGAACCATACAATAATCTTCCCCATGCATATATGTGAAAAGAACAAGATTACTCGAGATAAATAATAGTTCTTAAAAACGTATATATAGTTGGATAAACTAGATAGTTAGGTAAACTCATCGTTACAGAGCTTGATTTTGATTCTTAAATCGCCGGTAAACTCTCTACATTCGTATATATCGTACAAGCTAATGCTAAGAGGCACCCTAAGAGCTGAGATTTCACAAAAAGTAATGAAGAAAAGGTCCAGTGTGATACACGAAGCTTATTGTTAAACTATTTACACGTATATTACACTTGATCTTCGCTATATACAATCGAAAATCTCAGGAGGACACATTACTGATAATTAAAAAAAATAAAATAAGTGGAATGGAAGTAGTCCTACGTTTCTTTATAACGCACAGCTTTGATTAACATAAGAGGTGCAACTTACAAGAAAATATTTATAGCGACTAATTATACTCTCGTGCTATTATGAGGTTTGTTCGCGTCGCATGCTCCAACTTGCTCCTTTTTATTTCAATGCGCTCGTATTAGTCTAATTCGAGGAGCGCACCAATACGAGCGTATTGGAGTAAGAAGGAGCATGTTGGGGCATGCGACGCGAACAAACCTATGATGTCGACAAATCTATTTGGCATTAGAGAGAGGCCGGGGAATCTCTTTATGAATTTCATGTATATTTTGTAGTACATACTATTATTTATTGCAGTATTTCCGCGTTTCATTCTAGGGTTGAATGTCCCATGTGTTTCTACGGGAGAAAATCTTATTCCTCATTGCACACATAATTTTACATAATGAAACTTGCTGTATTATACTGGTGTAATTACCGTTGGTGTCTCGTCAAGTGGGGTAAACTCTGTAGACGTAGTGCATCGATCAATCGTATATAATCTATCTGTACACTCACAACACAGTTCAAATACACAATAATATTAACATATTTAATATTGGACTGATAGAAACGAGGAGGAGGAGGGGAAAGAGAAGAGCAGGATAAAAAATGGCAAGGAAAAATTTCCACCCGATAACGAACAATTGTCTCTTTGATCGCTTTTAAAGCGATATAGAAAGAACGTATATAATCTGCTGATAGTATTGGTTTGTTGTCGATAATTAACCAACGTTAAGCGGTATAGAGTTTAACGATCGGTTAAAAAAATTATCGTGGATAATTTATGCGAAGGAGAAAAAATAGATAACGCTGCGACGCGTTTCTCAGAAATTTTATTTTCGCATAATCCATGAAAAAGAGAAATCATTTCACCATAATTCTCATATATTCCATTTCATTCAGTCACTATTTATATACGATAAAAGTATTACAGTAATTTGCTATGTACGAATTAATCTTTATAGCCACTTTCATATCAGATCTGAATCGTAGGCTCGTTATACTATAAAACCCCGGATGTCAGCTCTGATTTGAAAACAACTTCTTTCTCTTCTCTCTATATAAGTCCATATTAAATATATTTTACAATAATATTATCATTGTACATGAACAACGTATGCTCTACACCTTGCGTTGCTTATCGCTAATTAACCAGCGCAAAAGGATAATTTTCATTATGCTTTGATGGAATAAAATTTAAAATATTATGCATATATATATATAATATATATATAATATATATGTATAAAATGTGTATAGTATTACACATATACTATAAATATGTTCACTAATGAAAAGAAAACTGGTTAGATTAACTTTACACAAGTCGACATTCGCATTAAAAAGTAATAATAACATGGAAGAGAGAATAGCAAGATGACTCGAACAGCAAAGATTTAAAAGACAACATTTAAAACTCATCTAAACGAAAGCATGAAAATTTTAGAGATCAAGTTGCACTGACGAAACTTAAAGCTAAAACAATACACGATTTTGTGGTTGTCTCTTCCTACATTATTATTACTTGATATACATACATACATATATATATGTATATATATATATATATATATATACACATACATATACATACATATATACATATATATATCTATGTATATATATATATGATATATATAATATAGGTAGAGATAAATTGAGTTAATTTCAATTTAGCTCTAATTTACGCCAGTACAATAGATTCTACGTTTTTGTAAACATCTTTATCATGTAAAATAAAAACAAAACTTTAAATGCGCTGATTGAAGCAACGATCGACAAGAAGGTGTTAATTAGTTAAAATAGACGAGGGGGACTGGATTTGTGTGACCCCAATATGTGCGCCGCCTTGGTACCTCCTATAGTAAAACAAATTTCTTGTTAATAATTTTTTTGTAACTTTATTATAGAAATAAACTATTTCGGAAAGAAATCGCGTCTGATGAAAAATAACAATGGAACAAATGAATTACTTACATAAAAGTAGTGGTAAAACAGGCGAAGGGAGGTTATTCCTTATTTTCCTCGGTAGTAACAGTGTTGGAGGGATTTTGGGAATCCGATGAGGATAAAGGTGGCGCTTCTGCCGCTGTGTCCGTCGCATCTTGACTCGAGTCCGAGCTGTCCTTTACCTCCTCTTGCTTCTTTTCTTCGCTGGGAGAGGTGCTCTTAGCTTCATCCAAGTTCTCAGCCTCCACCGTTACCTTCTCGTCCTTGGAATTGGTCTCGGACGTTTTCTCAGCGTCTTTACTGTCTTTACTGTCCACGGCCTCCGCATTTTTGTCTTCATTCTGTATCGCCTTGCTGTCCTTCTCATCCTTTCCCTCGTCTTTCTCCTCGTCTACTTCCATCTTTGTAGATTCCTCTTCCGTGTGCTTTTCGCTTTTGTTGTTGGACGTTTCTTCATCGGTGTTGTTTTCATTGTTCTTCTCTTGTCTCTTGGGACGGCCACGTCCGCGTGCACCGCCGCCCTTCGTCGATGTTTCCCTCTTCTCCTTTTTGGGGGGCGATGGCACTGGCGTAGTTGTCGAAGTTAGGCCTCTGGCTGAACTGCGGGTGCGTCTTCTGCCTTCCACTTCACCGACTGGACCGGACTTGTTCATGCCCTATAATAATTCATTCAAATGAAGATAATTGCAAGATATAATATTAATTTCATTTCGCATTTACACACATGTTAACGATTATCCAAGCAGCAAACTGACGTCATTAAACATCAAAACGATGTATGCTTGCTACCTGGATATATATTTAATCCTAATTAACACGTATAGAATCAATTTTCTATGGTAAATACATGTTCTTTCGAAGCTCCTTCTCTTATTCCAGAGAAAGATATACAAAGCAATTTGTAATTGGCGCCTACGCCAGCGATTGGATCCCCGCTGTGAGAGGACGCTCGTTTCCCTCCACGTTGCCCCCTCTCCAGCCGATCGACTCCCCACTCCGGACGCTCGATGCACTCACGTAGGCAGCAGGCAGAGTCGGCGACGGAGAGGCTATAAAACGGAGGGAAATAAACGGGGGAGGAGCGCGGAAGGGGACGAGGACCTTGACCATCGAGACCTCGACGGAGATTTTGGATAAATACAATAAGAGCCGGCCTCTTGATCCGATGGATATATACGATGAGACTAGATTTTTCCCATTTCAGAATACCTCGCGATTCCTCGCGAGACGCACCTTTAAAATCGCCTCGCCTTCTTGGGCGGTCCTTTCCAGAGTAGAGAGTCTCTTGGTGCCGCTTCGTTTGTTTTTCGTCGGGGTCGGTTTCTCCTCCGTCGACTGTTCCTGCAAAATCACCAGAGTTTCCTGTATATTCGCTTGCTTCTTCATACGCCTGGACGTTACAACGCACAAACACACACACCCATACACGCATACATGATTCATATATGTTACGTGTGTGTATGTGTGTGTATATATATATATATATATACATACACACACGTATGTATGTATATATATATATATATATACCTATACACGGAGAAAAGCCTGTTACGCAGTCGCGCGCGTCTCGAGATTATTCTAGAGTTAAGAGAGTCGGCTGAGGAACGCGAACGAGGCACCGATATAATTACGACGCCCGCGTTGATAAGATTATCAACAGGGAGGGGAGCGTTGAACCGGGAGCCCTCGCTTCACGTTTTCCCGTTCAAGTTTCCCGCCATTTTGCTCGTCCGCCTCGTTTCCGACGTCTACGCCTCGCGCGCGACTCCCACCGGCCGGCGACGACGAGGACGACGTCTCGCCGTCCGGGACGCGGACCGGCGACCACCATTAACGCCAGCCGCGTGACCGCGGCTACGTTCCTGGCGCGACGCCGCCGACGATTTCCCGCCTTTTTGCGCGCGAGGCCGCCGATCATACGGCGTGCCAGCGAGAGAGACGGACAGATGGAAGAAGCGAGGCGCATTCGCGAAACGGCGTATTCGGGTGCTCGCGCGAGGTAGGGAACGTATCCACCATGTTTGCCGACGACGCGAGATACGAGGATATGCGTCGAAGTGCGTGCGTACGTACGTATGTACATACGGCGCAGCTAAGGAAGGGAGATCCTCCGGGCGGCCGGTGACCGCGGCGCCGTCACATGTGGTCGAGCGACCTGGTGGATCGTTTCCGGGGGCCGACGACGACGACGTCGACGTCGCCCGGATGGGGAATCCGCGCTTAACGTCGGAGCGTCGCCGCGGTAGAGGAGGAGAAGGGGCCGGGAGGGGGTAGGGGAGGGTTGCCTCCGCCGCACACACGCCGCGTTCACGGCATGAAAACTCGGCTTGACGAAGACGTTCCTGACGTGCCCGCCGGTATGTCCGCTTACCTTGGACGTATCCTCGACGTTGTTGTCGTTCTTCGTCTCCGTCTTGGCGTCGGACATCTCTTCGCGTGCGAATCACTCAAAAACACTGGGAAATCCACGGTTCCACGGCGAGAATTCGCGCAACGCCCGGTCGCACTGTTTATACGATGAAGAAAGATGGCGGTTAGCGTGGGTCACGTGACACCTCGTCAAACCTCAGAGCGGGAGTTCGTCGCGCCGCCCGGCGCCGCCGAGGGAACTACGCGCGTAGCGACATACGCGGGATCGAAAATTCTTTTCCTTCTTTTCCTAAGACTTGTGCTTTTTTTTTTTTTCTTTATTTTCCTCCGCATTTTTATTTATTACTGAGAAAAAGATCGCTTTATCGGTACGTCAGCAATTAGGTGATGCGATGTACTATGTATATGTATCGTGCGAAATTTAAGTAAAACGACGCGAGTTATGTAGGATTATCTGATGTTTTAAAAATCCCATCAACTGGCTCTCTCTTTTTTCTGCAATAATTAAAAATACAAGTATTGCGGGAGTAAAAAAAATATATTATATTATATATTATATAATATATAATGTATAATATATAATATAATTACATATGTAATTATATAAATTATATGATTATATATAATATATATAATTATATTTATATAATTATAATTATTGTGTTTGTAATATTAATCGCAGAAAAATTAATATCGGCACAATTTTGTAACAAGTCAAACTCTTTGACGAAGATGCCGATTAATCTGTTGAATTTTCAGTTTTTACATCAGTTTTAGAAGCGATAATTTCGAAAATTGTATTAAATTAATGCACGCGCGCACTTACCTGATTTAAAAATTATTTTTACATGTATATTTGTGTATTGTGCAGTCACAAACACATTTAGTCGATAATTGAAATTATATGAAATTAAGATTTTTTAAAAATTATATATGCTGCTTTTAAACGGAGATAAAATTTTCTTTTATGTTTGTTTAAACGAGAGTTCATTATAGAAAAATACGTATTATTATATATATAAAAATTGTACATTACATATATTATGTATGCAGCACAAATAAAATAATAAAAATGTGCAAAATACGCTTAAAGTCTAAATAAAAGAAAAAGATAAATATGTAACATTTTTCTAATAATTGACATATCTGATACCATATCAAATTCTTACATGCATAATATGTATATCTTACATTTGTAATTTTACCTTCTCACAAAGATGAAAATTAGAAAGTATATGCCATGATTTCTTAAAGTGTCCTTTATCTTCGATTTAATAAAATTAGTGAGTAGGCATTCTTCGAAACCAGAACCTTGCTCTGAAATCATCGCTGCATGTCAGAAAAGCAGGAGCAGTTGGTGAATGCACAATTAATCTCACAGGACCGTTATGACCCAAAGATAACAGCTGCTTTCTAGATGCGTTACGAGAATTCCAGGCGCACAATGAAGTCGTGGCTTCGTCGGGAAACATTACGTAATCCTCTGTATGATTAAAGATAGCCTGTGCTTTGTGTTCCTGTTTACCTGTTAAAAGAAAAATACATAGTTGCACATAATATTTATCGTGTAATATTGTAACGTTAACGTGGCATACCACACCAAATATATATTCCACGTATGTCTGTAACCCTTTATAAATTTTTACCTGTAGTTCCAGCACCTGTATACGCTATTAAACATCTGCTAGTAGACAATTCCCACAACTTTATAAGGGAATCTTTTCCTGAAGACAGTAAATACTGGAAAATTCAAAATTACATGATTACTCGGTACAACAATTCGGAAATGTATATATAAATATGCAAATATTTTCTCTGCAATTTTTACATCATATCTAAAATTCTGCGCAACGTTACTTGCACATCAGAATTTACTTATACCTTGCCGTTCCTAGTGAAGGTCACCGAGCACACTTCGTAACCGTCGTGCGCTTTCACAAAGGTGTTTATACATCGATTCGACACACCGTCCCAGAGTTTGATGCTACCATCCTTTCCAGCCGATGCATAAGTTTTTGCATCTGGTGAGTACTTGATGCTCGTTATCCCGGCTGTATGCTGGTGACTCGGAATGCTACACACAAAGCACTGAGCAGTATTCACATCGTACAACCTAACTACTGGATGATTAGTTCCGACTATGAGGAAATCTCCAGTGGGATGAAAGGAGAGACAACGTATTTGATCGGCATCCGTAATGGTCCTGAATGCCTTCTTGACACTAGCTTTACTAAAATCGAACAGTTTTACGGAGAAGTCACGACTACCGGACACAAGTATAGGTTCCCTGGGATGAAATTCCAAACATGTCACTTCCTCCAAATGATCGTACAATGTCCTTATGACAGGATGACCTCCGGTCTGATCTCCGGGGGCCATCTCATCCGGCGCAGACTTGGCAAGCATTCTGTCTACGTCTAAGATTTTGATGGAAGCATCCACAGAACCGGTGGCTATCAGCTGCCCATCTGCCGAGAAGGCTCCTGCCCTGCAATTTCCTTTATGAGACGTGACGTACGCGGTTTCATACTGTGCCGGCTCCGGGGCCTGTGTCTGGGTCTCCGTCTCAAATTCCAAGTCCAAACCAGGTCCTAAAGTATTATCGAAGCTCGACGCGAACGTGGACATATTGTTGCTGTTATCCTTCTTGGAGCGATCCGGTTCGTGGGTGGCGCCAATCAACATTAAATGGAGCAATCGATCCGAGGGTGGACACGGGGGTTCCGCTTGTATCATGTTGGACAGTTGCACGGCTAACGTCTGATGACCATCGTAGAACAACTGACTGAAATATTCAACGTAACTTACTCAACCCATTTGCTAACGCTTTTGCTATCAGTCGTCGAAGAAATTATCATTGCAAATCAAAATATCGCGACACCGGATGTAAAATTAATGTAAAAATGACAACTGACATTACTGACGAAGATGCTGAAAATTGAACCGCGTGCTAAGGGACGATTATACGCAACCTGATCATCAGCCTGTAGAGCAGCTCTCTGCTCTTTATCATGTTCTTCGGGTCCACCTCGGGTTCCTTCATCGCACCCTGGCTCGCCGCCTGGTTTCCCGATGGCGACTGAATGTTGCCGGTTTTTTAAAACTGTCGGGAGAAAGAAAACCGCAAACCGCACCTCATCAATCGATGAGCTCCCGGCCCCTTTTTGCAGGTTATGTCGCGTTGTTGTCAGTGCTCCACTCGATCACGTATTCGTCATCTTCCCCCTCTCTCGCCGCGCGATTTCATTGGCGCGTTCCAGCGGCGGCGGCCAATCGGCGCGCGCCGTTGACAGCGGCAGCTCCACGTGACAGCGTCACGTGACACACTTCGCGAAAAATGTCAGAATGGCCGAGACGGACGACGAGCCGAGGGGGTTGAGCGGAATCAACCCCGAATGCGAGGTTAAACGTCGTAAAATTGACGCGTCAAAATCAAAAAACGTTCTACGAAATAAGGCTTTTCTCACGTTGACCAAGAAGAAGGGCAGGGATATCGTCGTAAATAATAAAACTCCCTTCAAGGTATCTCGCTTCCTCCATAATCATAACCTTCAAGATGCGTTGCGTTCATAACAAGATAACTTTTGACAAACAGATCGAGATATGTATATGTATATATATAGTTTGATTGAGCTTTCACGACGTACTCGAGAATCTAGAAGAATCCCTTGGAAGAGACTCTTCTAAAGAGACGAAAGAAAAAATCATCTCTTGTACATATTTGTCATTCGAGACAAATACATGTAATTCGCTTTGAAACTTTGTTAACTTTCCTGAAATATTGACATTTTGAAGGTACAATTGTACAAGTGCGAGAAACTTTTGGATAAAGGCGCATCAGAGCTGATCATTCATGGTCTTGGAGCTACTGTGTTTAAAGCAGTCAACTTGGCATTGCAATTAAAGGAAATTCATCATGGAACCTTAGATCTTGATATAAAAACTTCTACCATAGAGCTATGTGGTATTTATTTTTTTTCTTGTGTACATTTATGCGAAAATTGACACAGAGTTTTAATTACGTTTATTATTTGCAGATAAAATAAAGACACAAACAAACAACAACACAGACTCTGAAAGAAAGAGACAGACCTCTGGTATACATATACGTGTTTTTAGAAAATTGCCATTTGCTACACTGAGATCTATGCAAGCAAAGACAAACTGATTCCGACTCTATAAAACTATGCATTTGAGTTTAAATTATACTATACACATATTGCTATATCCTAATTTACTATAACGATACAGCAAGTGCAAAGTTGTATTATTTTTTTTTACGATGATCTTTTCTTTGAATGAACTTGTTCACTGGTTGGGTTTGACAATCTTTGAGATATGGATCAACTTGGTTGCATTAACATTTTTTACTGTGCTGTTAGCTTTAAAATTAGATGGTAATTATTTTTTGGGCGCGTCAGGATGGTGGGAAGTATTTTCGCCTCTTTTCATAGCCGATGGTCTGAATACGTACTTTTGCGCGATCATACTTATAAGAATGTATATGGAGGGAATGATCAAAGTAGGCATTTTACGAGCATTGTGGAGTCTGATATCGTTACTTTTGGTCTTTGTATTTAAGTATCTTTTGTGTAAAAAGCTCTCTGGACAAAGCACATTGGAGTACTCGGAAGTTTTGAGTCCTGTATTCATTCTCCTGCAATTGATTGCAGTCAGAGCCTGTCAACTACATTAAGGGAAGTGAAAAAATTTTTTTTATGTAAGATAGTGCTTCCACACAAAGCATTGCTATATATGATAACATTATTATGTACCATACAAAACTTGTATATATATTTCATCACAGATTTATTAACTAGATAAATTATTTAAAAAATATTTTATCTATGTCACTTATATTTTTATCCTGCCTATTTAATATTGCATCAGATGATTTGTTTTTTGATATTATTAAATCTATATTATTAAATATTAACGAATAAATACTAAATATTCAATATTAAATACTAATTAAAGAAATATTAAATTTGCTCATAATTTTTGAATTAAAAGATAGTATGTTTTGCATTTATTTAAGATGTTTAGAAAAAATAAGTATAGAGGTATTACATGATGTACAGATTTAATGAATAGATTCTTCTCCCAGTTTTTTTAAAAGACAATGAGCGTAAGAAGATAATAAGCATAAATACAGGAATATTAATTAAATTGATACAATATGTGCATTGAATAATATATTTATATTCTATAAATATTTTGAACATGCATATTGTATGTAATGTGTAATGATTAAGTGTAGCTCTCTTCGGTAATTAGTTTATACATCTATTAATATAAACTTAGTTTTTTTGTAATGTACTATATTGAATCTTGGGATGCAGATATAACAAATAGATATTTTTTCTAAATACGAAATAATTTCTTTTATTATATGATTATCTTAATTAATCTATATTATTAAATATTAAAGAATAAATACTAATTAAAAGAAAAGAAATATCAAATTCTTTCTACTATAATTTTTGAATTAAAAGATTGCGTTTATTTAAAATGTTTGGAAAAAAAACAAATATTAATTTTTATATTCTCGTTTCTCCCTCATCCCCCAAGTCGTTAGACATCGATTTTCAAAAGCTGTTGCCCTGTGATTACAAGGCAAGATTTACCTTGTTTATAATAAAAAGTTCAATATGTAATATATTATGAAACTATTTTTATCCTCTTTGTCTATGTTCTCTAAAGTATTCTTTTATGCCGCAGTTGTGGAATTTATAATTCTTAGGAAACATCGATAAAACTAAGACAGAAGTTTCCTTTTACAAAAATAACAAGGCCTGTGTGAATCATAACATAACGTAGACCGATAAATTTAACGCTGCTCCATTTAAACTCTAAAGATAAACAACTGACCAGCAGGCCAGGTGCCTGCTTTATGTGGGCATGTATGTGCGCCACCCCTTCCAACCCTCTCTTCAACTAAGATCAATAATTCTAACTGAAGGGAGACAGTGGCTGCTGTATTCAGTGAGAAGGGGTGCGTGAATCAAGTCATTCTATAGGTAAAGCCTGTTGCTGCTACTCGCATTTCGCCAACGTCGTCCAGCGGAACGTCGTCGTGTGTGCTACGTCAAAAGGACACGGCAACAATATTAAACGCCTCTCTGCCGTAAGACTTGATCAACTGACCCTACAAGATCCAGTGATGTGCTGTGGACACAACAAATCGAGGGATTATGGCTAACTCGACTGGTGGTCAGTTCTTTCCCCATTACATCTCAATTTTTAATACACAGATTTCACCACACATATAGATATAGAAGTGTATATATAGAACGACTATTGTTGTATATGTCAAACGCGCGATCGGACTTTCCAATATTGAGAAATCATTATATATAGCGCGCAAAATTCTCGCGTAGAATATTATGTCTTGTTGAAACTTATAAGCTTAGAAAACTGAATATGTTAACAATTTATTACACATAGAAAATTATGACAACTATATAACGAAATAAATAGTATTTTGCTATGCTTTATTAATATATAAACACCTCTATATTTTAATATTATATTTATATTTATGTATCATGTATTATGTATAAGTTTAATATTACATTTATATTTATGTATCATGTATCATGTATTATGTATTATGTATATATATATATATATATATATATATATATATATATATATATATATATATACACACACGTCGTTTCTTACTCGAATCTTCTGTTAATTATAGGTGTAAACGTGACACCTGTCGCCGGACAAAATTGTGCGTCAAACTCGTCGAACTCTGGAATCCTAGACAAATCACTAGTCACTGCTCCATCGTGGAGTTCGGTACAACAAGACTTAAGATGGATGTTCCTACTGCACACGTACGGTTTTGCATGCCTCTTCTTCGTACTTGGGTTTTATACCTTCTTCTCTATTTTAAATTTAAGGTACGTTCATCATTTGCCGACGACATTAGCGAAAGTTTAATTATTAGTTCGAGTACTTTAAGATTATCTCTTTTTCTACAGATCTCTCATATCAAGCCGGCCGTTTATGTCCACGATTAATATATTCCTATGTTTACTCGGAGCGTCGCGAGCCGCCTGCTTATTCATAGATCCGTACAATCTCAAGGAGACGATGCCAAAGGACATCGGATCGATCATATGGGACATTGGATATCCGTGCATCACGTCTGCCTTCTGCCTCATACAATTGGCTTTCCTGCAACTGACGAAGGTGTGCAACAAATATTCAGTTAATATATTATAGAATACAACATTGCTATTACAAACCTCTCACATGGAATACTTTACAACAGCTGAAATTCGGTCCGGAGAGGATACAAAAGAAATCCTGCCTCAGTCTCATTATAACGGCACACTTCCTCTTCATAATCGCCAACGATATCACTCTGTCCTCCCATAACTGCTTCATGGCGAAATACGTGGTTCAAGCAGTGTTTCTCGTTTGGAGCATCCTCCTGTATCTCGCCTTCCTGCACGCGGCTTACAAGATCGATCATCTGCTCCGTACCATGCCGAGCAGCATGTTGACACGGGACAATTCCAATGCGCATCAGAAAGGTCTGGCTCTTGATGTTTGACTCTTCCCCCTGTATTTCAATTTTAACATATTTTAAAACATACCTACCTTTATCAGCTGAATCAGTTTCTTCTTCGTAATTCAGGTATTATGCAGCTTGCGATGTTGGCGCCGTATAGCAATTTGGCGACCTCGGTCGCTGCCGCGCTGGTCCCCACCTTGCTTGGTCCCAAGATAAAGAATCCGGAAAGCGAACCCGCGAACACGAGTAAAAGTGTGGAAGAGGAGACCACAGAAGAAGGTAATACACTTTATCGTAAATCTCTCATTCTCTCCAGAATGCGGATCTAGATTGACAAATGTTTGATTTCAGAATCACGAATCACGGCCAAGGTCAGCAAGGTGGAGGAGCCGACGCGGAAGGAAGCGAATCGCATCACGATCGTATCCGCGTGCGCCGTACAATTACCGTCACAGGAACAGAAATCGGCGGTGCCGGAGGTCTATGTGAGACCGCCGACTCCGACTCCGTCGACCGCTAATCTGCCGATTATAACCGTGTCCAGTCCGAGTCGCAGAAGTTCCATGGCCAGTCGTCGAGGAAGCGACACGTCCAACAAATCGTCGCGCAGAAATTCCGAGTGTAGCGTCAGATTCGTAAACGAAGACGACATGTCCCCGATCTCGGAAGGTAGACGCATGACGGAAGGTAGTCCCAGGCATTTGCCGAGGATACGAGGTGGAGACGAGCCGCTCGAGAGAAGTCGCTCCCCCGACAATACATCGCGACGTTACTCGGAGAATATTTCACTCTCGGGTAGCACCAGGGAATTAAGACGTTGCTCGGATTTCACTCACGAGAAGAACCGCGGCTCGCAGTTCGCGACTAAGCTTAGGAGGAACAGCGACTTTGGTAATCGGACACCTAAAAGGATGTTACCGCTTGAAAGTGAACACGGTAGATTGCCTAGAGTTCTGGATCTCAGCCCTGTGGGTAAATATCACGCACATCAATAAAGTACCAGATTCATCATACTTTGAATCTTGTTGAACTCTTAACGTATATAGATATTTCCTTTTATCTATATAGTGTTTAATAATATTTCAGGTTCAAGACGTAATTCCGATATTGGTAGCAGCATCGCATCGCCTCGACCTGAATCGCGTAGAAACTCCGAGAGCTGCTATCGACGTAATTCCGAGTTTGTTCATATTAAGCCGTTAATGATAAATCGTCGAAGTAGCGATATCAGCATCAGGACCCTGGACAGGAGTCCCACGCACTTTCAGAGTATAGTACCTGTAAAAATGGAGATACAGGAGAAGTCCGAATCAGATTCGGATCAACCTGATTGCAGCGAGAAGGCGGCGCTGATGAAGGATAATGATAAGAAGAGCAAGGACGAGGAGACGAAAAAGAGCAAGAAGAATCTGTCATGGAATGAAAAGAATATCGAGGACCCGGAAAATATCACGGCGGAGACTAACTTGCTTCCGGAGACGCCTAGCGAAGCAAGAGTTATGGTACAGCTTATTATTCTCACTGAGCACCCCTGAAAGCAAAACATGCATGATGTTATTCTAGAGTCTTTATCGATCGATTCTGTATTGATGCGACAAAGTACTAATACACGCGTTGTTTGCAGGGCACGGATTTTACTCTTCACTCGATATTGAATCACATCGCGTATGTGAATCGGGCAAAATCCGACACGCCGTTGCATATACCGGAAGCGGACACCGCGGCTGCCAGGAAATCTCAGGTGCGAAGGGTATTGAACGTCACTCGTGCCACTGCGATTCTAGGAATTCTTCTCTGCATCACGGATGCCTTTCGTATTTTTGGACCATACGGTATTTAATATAATTATTATTAAAAATTTATCCAGATAGCCACAGTAATTATTATGACTTTATTTTGTCAAAATAACTACTTTTGCTATCTGAGTATAGAATGTAACACAAAATAATGAAAATAAAAAAGAAACATTTTATCGATATGACTCTTTTGAAATTTTAATGTTCGTACGAGTAAAATAATGCTAATGTAATTAATTTTGTTTTCAGGACTCTTGGCTGAAACTGTACAATATGGTGCAAAACCGGCACCGATGCAATTTCCCAAACCGGTGCCGTGGCTGGTGTACCAAACGATATCAAGATTATTTGAATTTGTGATGGGCTGCGCCATGGCGAGTATAACTAAACAGCCGTCAGTAAGTCCGCGACATCAATACCTGAGTAGCTATCCAAATTATTCTCCGCGCCTAAAGCGGGGAAATAATCCTTACATATAAAGCAATAGAGTGTATTCAGTCATAATTCAAAGAATGAAGATGCCAAACGACAATTCTTTTCGTTTATTTTGCCAGATTTTAATATCATTCCTTTACGCAACGATTAATATATTTTGTGATAATATGATTCCTTGATTATTTTAAATAATCAAATTTTACGTACCTATATATATACATATATTTTATATATGTATAAAATATGTATATATTATATGTACATTACACAAATATTGCACGCACATACACAAATTTATTATATTCTTTTTATATTAATTATTCTCTTTATGTTCACTCTAAGACCGTGAATATTTTTAATCGAAAAGAATTGTGTTATATTTAATGATAAATACTCTTATTTTCACACAAATAGTCATAATTATGAATTGGTAGCAATTTTTATCAAAGATCATGCACAGGCATTGATACTAATACATGAGACGAGATAGTCTCGTAAAATGTGCTAAAAATATAGCAATAGATCGGATATATAACATTTTATAAACACGAGATATGTGTTTAGACAACATCTAAGATCTAATAGCTGGTGCAATAGTAACGTTTCTAAAATCCACTTCTCGTGTTCATTTGAGGCACGTATATCGCAAAAAAAAAACAGATATCTATTTTTTACATTAGATTAGTTTTCCGATTAATTAGTTTAATGATTTTTACTGTGTTCTTCGCAGAAAGATACGCATACATATATAAATATATACATATATATTTTTTCTGCTGTTGAAATATATATCATTTTTTAAACTCAGATATATATATAACTCATGGGAAATATTTTCGAAACAAAATAAAAAAATGAATAAAAAAAAGAAACAGACTGTGTGTATATAAGTATAAACAAAAATGTTAAAAGATAATTGATGACTTTTACGGATAACACATAAAAAATGCGTTTTTACTATGTGTCAACCGCACCAATGCTTAGAAGTACGAATCCAAATTCTCAAAGTGCCCTATTACTGAATGTTCAACAAAATTATTACAATGATTAAATAACATATAGATGACTTATCTGCAAGTGGAATTTGTAACAGTGTTGTGATCCTACATGTGATACCATATTTATGTGTTTAGAATAGGAGGCCATTTTACGCTTATGTAAGCTTATAAATATCACTATATTCCGTGAGATAAAAGACTGTAAAAGTGAATTTACGATTAAAAAAGAAACAGAGCTATATTATAGAATTTTATTGTAATTGTGTTCATTTTATTTTGCTTTCTAACTAGGATAAACTATAGGTACTATTTTATTTCCGCGCGTCCATTAAATATATTTATTTATACATTTCAATTTATAATTTTGGGTAATATATATATATATATATTTTTGTAGAAATTTGCGGCTGAAGTTATTTTCTTTTGAATACGTGATATTGTATATATCACTACTACATTTTGCTCATTGTGTATAAATATTTAGACATTTTTATATATTTTTTTCTTTACAAATATATACATCCAATATATCAATTTTCTATTTATATATCATTCCGTTATAATCTTACCGTAGAAAAACCAAATATAGAACAAGTGAGAAATCTAGTAATAATACTTACAGGAGCATAAAAGGTCTCTCAATAACTATCTGTTTGAAATTTATATAGTATAATAAAAGTAGAGTAATATATCTAAAATATATCATTGATGTTTCATGTGCCAAATACTCGTGTTAACTATTTTAAATGTTTACAAGAGATACAAAGTCTTATTATTCTAACAGAACTCTTCTACAAAAAAAAACTATAGGTATAGATAAATATTTATATACAATTGGATGTACAATAACAAACAACAAACTATCGTTTTAATCAAATTGATAAGGAATTATGATATATAATCACTATTTTTACTGATGCAAGATTGTAATGTATATCGCAGCTCTAATAGTTACATATATACATATATATTATATATAAAACAGATATAAGATATATATATTATTAAAGTTTTCACAATAGAGAAAACTCTATTGTGCATCTGATTAAAAAAGTTAATAATTTCTTAATACACATGACTATTTGGTATATAATTAAATATAGTTACCTATATATAATAAAGCTGTGAATTACGATAAATATTATATACATTCCCAATCAAGATCAATTTTGCCATAATTGTTATTAATGAATTATAAAGGAATGCATCTTGAAGAAACATTCTCGAAATATCACGCCCAAAAGTATTAAAGATATCAGTCTATATCATGTAGCACATACAAAGCACTGACTTTATTCTTAGCAATATAACTTTGACCAAATAAAAAAGATGTCGGTTGATTTTTAGATACTTTGTACATCTACGTTTTATGCGTATTAGGAATTTGTCTTGTAGTAGCTTTTAGTAGTCAAAAGTAGAATATAAAATTCGCTATTATTTATATTACTTTATCATATTCTATAGTCAAGATTATATTGTTATATTTAAGAAAAAATATTAATATATAATCAACAACTATGTAAAAGATTTATTGAAGAAAAAAGAATTGTGTAGAAATAAAGAAAAATAAAAACTTAAATACTTTGTTTAATATATATATACAAAACTCTCTCTAATGTATTATATTAATCGATTAAAAAAAATAAGTTTTTTTAAACTTTAAAGATTAATTATAAAGGATATATGAGTTTGGAATACATAAGGAAAATCAGATATTAGTCTTTCTTTTTGCAAAAAGAGATGTATTGCTGATTGTTCTTTTCACATTACATTTTTTAGCATGCCATTTTCAGATGTATTTTAACAATATATTATTCAAACAGTCTGAGAATTATATAATTAAAATAATACCTTTCCTGCTATTAATTATTCTATCATAAGCTTTTGTCAACATAAAAACTGTATACAGGGTGTCTAGCAGTCATGGAAACCTAGAAATACAGGGAATTTTCAGATTTCTGGAAAAATCATGGAAAAGTGATGAAATTTTGTGACTTTTCTGAAATTTCTTTAAATCCTTTTAAAAATGACATTTGTTGAAGAGAATTAACACTCCTCACCAATGAAACAGTGTTTTCTTCCATTCTGGAGTATTATAATTTATTTTATCTGTATTTCACTGAAATCTAAATTTCTATTAACTTTCGAGTTATGGATTAATGTCTTCGTGGACATAGATATTTGTTAAAAAAGGTCATAAAAAATTGAGATTTTTAATCTGGAAAACCTGGAAAAATCAGGGAATTTTACCACTCGATTCGACTAGACACCCTGTATATAATAAACTTAATGAATTTGCCTTTAACTAAAATTCATATTGAATATAAAAAAAAAACAAACCAACCAAAAATAATTAATAACCAATTAATAACATATATCTTACATTTCTAGTCACAAAATCATGATATTCATCATATAATTATAGTTGTACCCATAAGCTTCATTTATGATACACATTGTACAGGTCACATTATACAGTTGTTTTATACATTGATGATTATTTGCCGATTCATCCTTGATAGTCAAAATAATCTATCTCTTTGTCAGGTGTTTTTGTAGTTGATGAGGATGATATTGATTTTTGACTCTGTTTTACGGGTAATGAAAGAACAGTCCTACAATATATAATCAATTATATATAATTATATTATTTATAATTCACACATAATAGCGGTTGTAAACACAGATGATCTTACTTTGTGGAATTATTTCCCTTAGAAGCGTTAAGTACCGGTCCTGGAACTTTTCTTTGTCCTTTTTCCCGCTGTATCACTTCCAATAAACTGTAACTTGGTAGCCAACACTGCAACGCAATTTATTTATTATATAACAAAGATATCGCATATAACTGAACTGAATATAATTAAATAAGTTCTCACTTTATCTTTTACAGCAGTGGCGACAACATTCCTTTTCGGCTCCTCATCGTACGCTTGACTCTCACAGCCAAAATGTTGGCACGATTCGTGAACGAAATGACGTTTTTCTCTGTTCATAACGTCGAATGAGTAACTTCGAGATTTCTGCTTAGATGTCTTCGCCAGTTGGACTAATTCCGTCAGTTTGTCGTGGACCATCTGGCAGAAGTGCGAGTCTTTCTTGGCCCATTGTTTCATGTAATCAGTGTATCTGGGCATCAACTTGCCGCTCAAGTCGGGATTAACAATCTGCAGTCCCAACGCGAGTCTCCTATTTCTTTCTATCGTCTTGCATTCATCGTTGCACTCGAGGGTCTTCAACTGATTCTGCTTCTTCGCGCCTTGTCCGAAAACTTCCTCCAAATCGACGGAATGTCCGAGCTGCATGTCTGCCATCTTACTGGCTAGGATGTTGCTAGCTATACGTTGATACTCTCGTGCATTATCCGCGCAAACACGACTCATAGTTCTATGTCCGCACTGACATGTAACCTGCAATATAACCAGAGATATGCTGCAAAAGTTTTCAATAGTTTTTCATGCATTATAATTATCCTCGTATGCTTCTAGCAACTTGATATACGAAGGACATCTCCGCGAAGGTCGCTCTTACCTTAACCATCTCTTTGCAAGGTGTGTCCGGACACTTGCCTTCGTGGCACGGAGCCGCACAGATATGTCCGCACATCTCCCTCGTAATGATGCAGGGTTGCATGCATTGTTGTCCAGGTCTTTCGCAAGACCCGGCGTGACACATCGTGATACACTTGTGCCGTCCACACAATAATGGCTTATTGCATGGTAAACCGCACGAAATCTCCTTCACGTGACACGGCACAGCCTTTCTGAGCTCGTGCTTGCCGTGGCACCATCTCTGAGTTAGCACACCGCAAGGCGGACACGCGGGCTCGCTGTGACAATTGTGCAGCACCTCGTGATCGCAGGGATGCTCGCGCGAGCATGGCCGATTGCAAACGGGCCTTCTCGTACCGCAGGATACCGGTGGATAGATCACCTCGGCACCGCACTCGCAGTACAGTTCTTCAAAGCTACTCTGCCAACAAGGCGAACATCTCCCTGTCGACGAGAAGAGAAATTCGTTTTTCCTGCTCTGCGAGCCGATTACATGCGTGGATATATAAAGTGAAAAGTCGCGCACTCACCCATGTGACATCTCTCCTGGCACTTGTGCCGACCGCAACTCAACGTCTTGGAACACGGCAACGGGCAGATGTGCTCGATGTCGATGCAACATAATTGATTGCAGTTGTGCTTGCCGCAGGATCGTTTCTTCTTGCAACGTTTCTCGCAGCGCGCGTCGTCGGCTTTACTCGTCAGCTCTTTGCAAGCGATCTCGCGGTCCATATTACCGCATCGGCACTTGACATCGGTATTCAAGTCGCAGTCCGGACAGTCGCCGACATGACAAGGTGCCTTGCAGATGTGTGGATTACCTGCGCGAACAAAAGCGTATATAATGAAGCGCATCTAGACGGTAACAAAACGCACAATTCTTCAGACGACGCTTACTAGGTTGACCGCATTTCAGACGCTTAGAACAGATCTTGTCGCAGGTAGGCACAGGATCCAAGCAGCTCTCTCTCTTCTCCGTCAATGGCGTCTGACCGCAACAGCACGTCGTGATTCTCTCTGGCGTCAAGGAACAAGGCTCGCATGCCCCCAGATGACAGATTTGTTGGCAATAATGTTTCTCGCAGTCCAATGGTTTGTTGCAAATATTGTTACAGGAATATGTGTCTGTGACATTAGCTCGGCAAGGTACTTCTTGAGTCTTCTTACCACAAAAACAGGCTAAACAAAATAAAAAAAAATTATTACAATTATATGTATTGTATATTAATTACTGACTAAAACTATCTATACTAATGTAATGTTGGTAATTATCTTAACTTCAAATATTAAATATAAATATAAAAAATTAAATATAAATGTTAGAGAATAGATGAGGAGATATTACTCTGTTGCACGGTTTTGTCGCAAGACTCGCATTCTCCCTGATGGCATTTTCTCTGACAAGTGTGCTTGCCGCATGACAGATCCTTCTCGCATATCAAATCGCATTGCAACAGTTCATGAGCGCTGCACAGCAGCATCTTGGACGTTCTTCCGCAACCGCAATATTTCGTCACCATCGCCACACACTGCGGACAAGAGCCGGGATGGCAGAGCAGGGTGCATTTATGCGTGCAATTGTTCTTGGACAGATTTCGACCGCAGATTTCGCCGCACGAATGAGCTACGTCCTTGCGATTCCACTCCGGCATCTTCCTCTTTCCGCAAAAACAGAAATAATCCTCTGGTACGAGAAGGCTAATGTCTCGGCAGGCTGGGCACTTCCAACTGTTCTCTGAAAAAAGAAAGTATAATGACATTTTATGATTTATTGTAATAATAAAATAACTTCTTACTTACCGCTCTGAGACGATTTCGCCCATTTTTTGATGCATTTTAGATGCAATACGTGATAACAGTTACTGCAGGACCAGACGTATTCGCTTTGTTTGATATGCTCGTAACAGACTAAACATTCTAATATTCCTCTGTTCAATTGCTCCGTCAATCTTTCCCTTTGACTCGCGTCATCGTCTGAAAAGAATAAAATACAATTTTTTTTTTTTTATTATATATTCATTATTTTATAATTATTAATTTTATTTAATTTTATAATATAATAATAATTAATTTATCTGATAGACAATGTATATTCATACCGATTTTAGGTTTATTCTTTAGACTTTTTCCCTGTACACGAGCTGCCTCATTATCTTCTGCTCTATCTCTCCAATTCTCCAAGTTCTTCTCTTTGTAATTTGCTGTCACCTCATTGTTTCTTTTATGCGTATATTTTGTAGTAACTGCCACACTTTTACTTGCAATCTTTCTACCACCAGGTTCGGATTGTACATCATCAGAATTGTATTGTTTATAATAGTGTTTATATTTATAATTGTTGTATTTATAATAGTTAGATGTGTTAGCTTGATCATTGAATCGTTTAGGTTTACCATTTCGTTGTGTCTCATGGGCTTTCAGAGATGCATTCTCCGAATCATTATTCTCGCTTGTCCCTCCGTTTCTACCTACATCGGAGGATAAATCAGCCTCCTGAAGTTCCTTAGCAAAAGCCTTATTTTCCTGTCTGTCAACTGTAAACGGGCTGCCGTATTCGTTTGTAGGTGTACGAGCTTTCCCAACGTATTGTTCCATATATGTATCCGATTGATGTCTCCTATTATAATATTTGCCATTCTGAAATTTATTGTAGTTCCTTCCACCGTTCCCACTTCTCTGATCCCTGTAGTTGGATCTTGGTGGAGCATCTTGCTGATTCTTCTGCCTATAATTGACATCCCTCCTATTATCATAGCGTCTCTCACCTTTATATCTATTATCCATTGAAGATGTGTATTTGTTGATCGATCTAGGCCTGAAATCCTGTCCATCAAAGCTATTCCCTCCCACTGCATTATCATAATGATTCTCCTGTTTGTTAAATCTGTCCTTCTTACTCGACTTAACGCTGTTTGGCACGAATTCGTTGGCTGTGGCTTGTAAATTGGAATTTTGCACTATGCTTGACTGAACGAAGTCGCCTTCGGACGAGATGGGCTTGCTCCTATTACCCCTGGATCTCGGCTTGTAATTGTCCCGGTAGAAGGGCATGTTGCGCCCTGATGAAGCCGGGACGACGCCGTTCACAGGATACGAATTACTCGACGACGAGCTTGGCAGTATGTGTTCCTGATAAGCGTTTTCGAAAGACACCATATTCGACGGATGCTGAGGATTGATTCGATAGAGAGCACCGGGTCCCGGATGATGGTAGCTCCTCGCCGAGCCCTCGTCGAAGTACGTCCAGGTATTCTCCGCGGAGTAGGTCGGATCCTCCGTCTGGAACGAGCCGTCCCAGGTGGCCATATTATATGTTATTGCACAGCAATGCGAAACTTGACGCAACACGACTGATAACGATGATATGGACGTCAATGACGATGACGACGATGATGATAATGATGATGATGATGGATGATGATGATGTATATATAAGCGATAGGGAAACTCCAGTTATCTCTCGGCGAGAAGATTGTCTATCAGCGAAGATCAGCTGTGCAATTCGATTTTTTTTGACGTTTCTTCTCGGAAAATATGTATCTCTGTTCTAACCTAAAGGAGAGGAAATTTTGCCTGCAGAACAAGTAACGCGTTTACTACTCGTCGGGATTTTTCTCCGCAATTTTTGGTTGACCGCGACGAGAAGAATAACGAGGAAGCCCGCGAGTGCGCGACTCAAATTCCGCGAGATTAAAGAGAAAGGTGGAGAAAGGAGCCGAGAAAGGGAACCCTCCGAACGGAAGCCTCGCGACAGTTCCGACAGTGGTTCGCCGAACGATCGAAATGAACGAGATCCGATGATGGCGCCAAGATATGGTTCTATTCGGCTAACGCAATTTTTTTAAAGTAATATGCAAAAAATAATAATGTTGCGAAAAAAAGAATATTTCGTCAAATGAATTCTATCTTTACAAGTTCGAAGTTTCTTATTGTTTAAAATTAGTTAAAACGAATATAAGAAATAGAATAATAAATGTATAACATATAAAATAGAATTTATATTTTTTAGAATTATCTGATTTTTGTGTAAAAATCTAAATAATTATAATAAAATATAAATAATAAAATCTAATACCTAGTAGGCAGATTGAAAAAAGATAAAAGTTGGAGCCATAGAATATTTTTTGTATCTAGAGAGAGATTAAAATAAATATACATAACATATACATATATTTACAAACAATATATAATAATTTAATAAAAGAGAGAAAAAGAAAATGTAATAAAGAACATATAATTTTTCTTGCTTTTTAATGTTACTTAATTTTAAGTATGCTATAAGAATTTAAACAAATTTTTATGGCTTTTAGGAAGGATATAATAGCTCTTTTTCAATATTTAAAAAATCCTTATTATTTAAGAAAAAGCATTATTGTACCTTTGATTATGAAATGCATAAAAAAATACAATAATAAATGTAGTATTGTACAAAATTATAAATTATAATGTTTTATCATTGATATTATATACTTTATCTTTTGGCATTTTCATCAAGTAGATGTAAACATATATTGTACAATTTTCTGTATCAAAATTTATTTACATATATTTATCTATTCTTGAACTAAGTATCCTGTTAAGATGTAGCCACCAGTGTCGTTCATAAGTATATCAGGATGCGTTCTGTTGGGTAATACTTGATACGAACGTAAAAAGTTCGTAAATAATCTCATATTTATTGCATTGCGTTTCTGTTTAAGTTCCATGAAAGTCTCTTGCAAGGGCTCCCGATATGCGTGATAGATGACGAAAGGTCGCGAGGCTCCTAGGAAAGGTAACAGTGCATTCACAATATTTAAAGGATGTTCCTTCGCTATGATGGTCAAACCACGAGCTTTTGTGTTCTTTAACAAATCCAAGGCACGTTGAGTCTCCAAGAACCACTTTGGCTTCTTTACAGGAACTGCTTCTGTAGATTCCTCAGATTCATCCAGTTTCCGTTTCAAAGCACCAGCATCCTTTTTAGTATCACAAAGAGACAGCGTGCCATTCTCTCCCGGGTCAGTTTCAAGCTCTGAAATTTCAGTATCCATTCTAGACACCTCGTTACTCTTGGCTTCTCCATTCAATTTCTCTATAGGTTCTTCAACATCTCCTTCAATGACTCGATCAGCAACTTTCTTCAAGGAAATATTGTCCAGCACACTCGACTCGCCCTGATAGTATAACCTGAGGAAACTATAAATGTTCACCGCAATGTGCCTGTCTCTCAACTCCTGCGGGAAGTTCATGGCCTGAAGAATCGCGATTTGCGGCACGTTGCCGGGATGCAGGTTGATCAGATAACCATCTGTGTTCTCTCCTATCCTATTCAACATAGCCGCAGCTGGTAATCCCTGACAACCACTATCGTAGAGTAGATGAAGACCGTCAGCCTGCACGTCGCTGTAGCAAAGTATCTGCGCCAGAGCCTCCATCCTCAGACCACTGATCTTTTCAGGGTACTGCCTGAAATACATCTCGTGTAGGGATACAATAGTCGGTCTGCATACCGTGAGGAACCTCATATACTTGAGCTCCTTCTTCTTGATGTACTTCTCCTGGGAGTATTCGGTCTTGGCGGCGAAGGACGCGCTGTTCTCGATGAGACTGCCGATGATCTCCTTGCCGGTCTTTCCGGCCTCCTGTAACCCCAGGATCTCTTCCTTCGACAGCCCCTGTGACGTGCCGTAGTCCACGATCAGGCGATTGTCCTGTCCGCAGAGCTCGCCCTTTAATCCGCTCAGATCGTTCCGCGACTCTGCTCGTTCCACCAGCTTCAGGGTGTACGTGTTCCTGCTACCGCGCTTCGGCACCATCTCGAACGTGCTCCAGAACGGCTTGCCGACAACCTCGTGCATCTCCACCTTCTGGTTCTTCCCTAACATCAGAGTGCCATTCTCAGACACCTTATATACCTTACTGAAGTTGTGCTTCTTCACTATCACGTGGAACCCCACGGTGATTACTGCGGACTCGCTACTCGTCATCGTGTTCCTGGATGGTTGCTCGTCAATTTTCAGGTTAAAAGAATGTGTGAATTTTTTTCTTGTTATGTGACACATGGATTATATTGATCCAGATTTTATTATATATTATTCTTTCTATTTTTTGATGAAATTAAGTTATTTTAATTGTATCCTATTTTTCTTCTTTGATCCAGGCAATAATTTACTGCTTATTCCTTCCTTTCTTAGTTCTTCCTCGAAAAGAATACGTTGAATAATTTTTAGGTTAGGACACCCTGTCAACACATGGCCGCGTACAATCGATGACAAGTCTCCGATCAGTTCTCTTCATTTGAAGAATTCTCGTGTAATCGTAATAATTATTACGTTTCCGTGTGAAAATCAACGTGCCCGAAGCGATCATCAGGAGCGAACAATAATCAAATCACAATATCACACACGCAGATAAATTGACGTAAGCAATATGTATTACATTTATCGATATAGGTTAGGTTATCGTTACATACGTCTTCGTCAGCGTTTTATAATGATATATATTTATTATCCTGATTTATTGCAGGTTTTTCGACTAGGAAAAAAAAAATGGTTCATCACAATGAATTCCAAGCTGTTGTTCTCGCTGGAGGAAAGGGTTCTCGTATGACAGAACTTACGGCAGGTCAGCCGAAATGTCTGCTCCCGATCGCGAACGTCCCCATGATCTGGTATCCTCTGCAAATTCTCGAGCGTTCCGGCTTCAAGGAAGCGATCGTAGTGGTATCCGAAGTAGCAAAATCCGAAGTATCGGCGGCGTTGGACAGATTGGGTTTAAAAATCAAGATGGAAATTGTAGGGATACCAGGCGCCGAGGATCTTGGCACGGCCGATTCCATTAGACTCATCCACGAAAAGATATATACGGATTTCTTGGTGATATCCTGCGATCTGATTGCAAATATTGATATATCGAAGATCTTGGATTTATATAGAAAACATAATGCAAGTGTGACTGCTCTGATGCTGCCTGTCCCAAAAGTGTCAGATGACTTTGTAACTCCAGGTCCAAAGAATAAACAGAAACCGGAAACAGACTTGATTGGCATCGACAATAATACAGGACGATTAGTTCTCCTGGCTTCTGCATCTGATTTTGAAGAAACGTTTAACATCTCGCAGAGGCTCCTCAGGAAGCATACCAGCTTCACTGTTCATTCCAAATTGATGGATGCACATTTATACGTCATTAATAAATGGGTGTTAGACTTTCTGGTATTTAATAAGTGAGTAAAATTTTATCAGTGAGAAATATTAAAAAAGCTGTAAATCTAATGAATAATATAAAAAAAAAAAACTGTTACTAATGAATAATATTCCACAGAAATTTTACCACATTGAAGGGTGAACTCTTGCCATACATAGTTAGCAAACAATTATCTAGGCCCAAACAGTCTGACGATCGAAATACTTCCATGGTGCAAGTAGATCTGAAAGAAGATATTTTTCGATTTGCAGCAGAAAAACCCTTAGATAAACTAATAAGGAAGATGTCAGCATTCAATGATCATAGTACTGATTTGGAAGAAGTATATTTTGGAGACATAATACGATGTTACAGTCATATATCAAATGAAAAGTTCGGTCTTAGAGCAAACACTATACAGATGTATCATTTTGCAAATGCTAAGGTGAGATACGAATCTTTATGAAAAAAAATGTGTTTATTATTAATTATATTTAGAATTTATTTTTAATTATATTTATACTTTAATATATTTATCACAAGTATAAACAAAAAACCAGTATTAACTAAAAAAAGAAAACATTTTTAGATACTAGAGTGGTGGAGCGCTGATGACAAAAATATCGGGCAGTTGCCATTATTAAGTATCTCGAACACGGCGATCATACGCAGTACGCAGATTCAGGAATGTTGTATAGATGATAATACAACTATTGAAGAGAAAACGTCCCTTAAGCACAGTCATATTGGCCCTAACAGTGTTGTGGAATCTAAAACAAGAATATCTCAGAGCTTGATAATGGGACACGTAACTGTTAAGCAAAGGTAAGTTCAGAACATTACTGAGTATCATGAGATTTCTCTCATATTCATCAAATGTAAGCAGCTACAATTTCTCTCTATCATCTTTTTCAAAGATGCATTATCCACAACTGTATACTATGTAATGATTGCATCATTGAAGAAGGCACTGAATTGAAAGATTGCTTAGTTGGAGCTCAACACATTGTAACTTCTGGCAGTCAACATTCTCGCGAAGTGCTCACTGATGCGGACAGGCTTATAGAAATTTAATTAGTTTTATATTGTTGATAATGAATACTTACTAAATAATAAACTAATAAAAGTAAAGAAATTTTTGTTTTGACCATCTTAATTAATGCAATAATTTTATATGTATATATAAATTAATAATGTGCAGATTAATAGTGCTTTTATAATTTCAACAATCTTTCGAATTACATAAACAATCAGGTTGATAAAAATTGCTGATTTTGCATAAATTGTTCTCATATATTTTGTTCGAGAAATATATGCATTTATTATTATTTTTAATATATATGTATATATACATATATACACATATATACATATATACACATCCTGGTAACACAATCTGATAGCTTAGATACATCCTGAAGAAGTGCATAAGAAAACTGACAGAATTACATAATATCTGTTACTGAACGAGTACTTACTGTACTATTGCAACAGTCTGCTGTAAGAAGCTAGTGTGAAATTTTATATGCAGCAAAAATGTGAAAATAATTCTGAAGTATCTGCCCGACAGAAAATTAACAAAGCAAAGCTGCCACATATCTTTCACAATTCTGTTGCACTATGACGAACGTAAGTTTTTATCAACAGAAAAATAGTCAAAGTTGGAAATAGAAAACGCATGATCTACCCGAAAGTTAATGCACGACTTTTCGTCCAGTTTTACAGCAGAACTGCAATAAATTTTACCAGGATATATATTAAATAAGCTACATAGCCGTGATTTATAACCAGAGACAATGGATTCTATATAATTAAACTTTAATTTTATTATTGAAAGTAAAGTATCTTTATTGTTAAATGTTCAAAACATTTGATCATCAAAATTTTTTCTTGATCGAATTATGAAAGTTGCCATTTAATCATAGATGCTTATATAGAATGTTTTTTCGTAAGTAAAGAAATTTAAAAATTCAGAAATCAGTACGTTTTATTTGATAATTAAACACAAAGCTTTCGTCTGTTTTTTTATTTCTGTCTCATCGAACGTGATATATTATTTACTCTATTGTCTGAACGAATTGATAAGTTATAAGTTTGATTGAGTAAGATATATATGTATGTCCGTCGCAATATGCAAAAAGAGTTTGAAAAGATTCTTTCAAGGAATTCCGCAAAATTTTTACCACACGTTAAAGGATGAACTCTTGTCATACATAATTAGCACATATATACTTAGTTATCTGGATTCAAAAACAATATGTAGATGACAGAAATACTTTTATGCAAGAAGACTTAAAAGAATATCTTCCGATTTGCAGCAACGAAACTTTTTGGACAAAAACTGATAAGAAAGATGTCAGCATTGAATAATCATAACATTAATTTTTAAAAAACTTATTATGAAAACATAATACGATATTACATGCGGTTATATATGGAAAGTTTGGTCTGCAATTAAAAACAGTACATATGTGAAGATATGTATTATTTTGCAAATGCTAAAGTAAAATACACATTTTTATAACAAAAAAATGTTTATTTATTTATATTTATATTTTAACATATTTATCACAAGTATCGCAAGTATACATAAATAAGAGCTTTAACTTAAAAAAATAATTCTATACATATTATAGAATGCGATGGAGAGTTGATGGAAATAATATTGAACAGTTGCCATAATATTTCTAGACAACGACACGACATCTAAAATCGAAACATAAGATGTTTAAAGGCGTCATTAAAATGTCTTTTAAACATCATATTATAATATATGTCTTCAAGACATCTTTAAGATATCTTTAAGACGTCTTATGTCCCGTTTTTAGACGTGTGTGTGTGATGTTGTTTGGCTTATTATTATATTATATTAATTATATATTAATATAACATATTATATTAGTTATATTATATTTAATTATATATATAGACAGATGCTGGAATGATGTTGCATAGTTGATAGTATGATTATTTTATATATAAAATTTTTATATAGGTATAAATTTGCATAAATGTGTACATATGTGTGTGTGTGTGTGTATATATATATATATATATATATATATATATATATATATAAGTACATAAATGTATACACTGAATAAAAAGTTATTGATTTCAAATAAATGTATTTCAGTAGTGCCATTAACATATCATTTGTTTGAAACAAATAAATATTTGTGTTTTGAAAATGGATTTCTTATATCAAATAAGTATTTTTTCACGGCAAATCAATATTATTAGTTTCAAACAAATAGTATTAATGGCGCTATTAAAATAGATATATTTATTTGAAGTCAGTAGCTTTTTTCAGTGTATACATTATGTATATATATATATATACATATGTAAAAATATCATTAAAAAATTTATTATATATCATTACGTTACGCGTAAATTGTCAAGAAACATGATCCATTTCAATTACAAGTATTTTTAAAAATACAAAGAGTATATCGAGCTATAGAAATTAAGAAAATATAAACAGAGAATGATAATGTATGCAGAGAAAATAATAATGTATATTTTTCGACAATCACTACATTGTTATTTTCATGTGCAAAAATTGTCAAAATAAAATTATATATATATATATATATATATATATATATATATATATTTATATATAAATTATTTATATATGTATATGTATATATATATATATATATATATATATATATATATTATATATAAAATCTTCCAATTTAAAGTCGACCAGACTGGCAATTTATTTAAAAATTAGTTAAATTACAACGTTTCGGCTGTCATTGCAGCCCTTTTCCAGTAATCAGATAATACAATAAATCAAATTACAGCAAACCCCGACAAAATAACCATTGTTTTGTTGAACAATGTATATGACAGAAGTGAGCACGAAAAATAGATGTTGACTGTTAGCAGAAAACTTATATACAACAGTCAACATCTTTTTTCGTGCTACATTGATTTTGCTGTAAATTATTTATTGTATTAATCTGATTACAAAGGGCTGCAATGACTAATTTTAATTTTTATATTATTGGCTATTATCATTTATTATATTTATATATATATAAATATATTTGATACAGTTAAAATATTTTTTAAAATATGTGATATAATAAAAGGCCAACTTAACGAGCTTATATGATATTAATTGAAAAATTTTTTTATTGATTTACGTCATAATATACAAAAGTTAAGATAAACGTTTCGACTGTACGACAGTCTTTTTCAATATCATGCTAATATGTCAAAAAATTAATTTAGTCATATCGACCTTATTATAAATACAACATTTATGAGATTATCATATGACGAACGCAGTACAAAATTCATGTTTGTTGGCTTGAGTTAGAGCGTCAGATTTATGTATGTCATGCTGTTATATTATGTAACGACATTTTTTGTCACGAACATAACACTTTTTTTAAAAAATTATTTCTTTTTACTTAACATAATCACAATGTGTACTTTTTTAAAAAACAAATCTATATCTGTCAAGGACAATATATATATATATATAATAATTTTTTAAAAAAAGTGTTATGTTCGTGACAAAAAATGTCGTTACATAATATAACAGCATGACATACATAAATCTGACGCTCTAACTCAAGCCAACAAACATGAATTTTGTACTGCGTTCGTCATATGATAATCTCATAAATGTTGTATTTATAATAAGGTCGATATGACTAAATTAATTTTTTGACATATTAGCATGATATTGAAAAAGACTGTCGTACAGTCGAAACGTTTATCTTAACTTTTGTATATTATGACGTAAATCAATAAAAAAATTTTTCAATTAATATCATATAAGCTCGTTAAGTTGGCCTTTTATTATATCACATATTTTAATTGTATACGAGCCGAAGTTTAATTTATAAAATATATATATTTAAAATATTTTTTGTTATACTCTTTATATACAGAGGCGTATATGCATTTATTTCAAACATATTTACTAATTAAAATATTTTATAAATTATCTAGACAACAAAACGTTTAAAATCGGAACATATAAGACGTCTTAAAAGAGTCATCAAGATGTCTTTATAGTCATTATATTAATTTATGTCTTTAAAACGTCAATATATAAGATATATCATATTTAAGAAGTTTTATGTTCTGTTTTTAGACGTGATGTTGTATGGATAATTTTCGATGGATCAAGATTTCTTTGCAGATTAATGTTCGAAGTATTTGATTTCGAAATTTATTGCTACTCGACATATCCTGTTTTTTCTGATGCTTTACACTTACTGTCGGTGTTGTCAGCAATTTCTTTGCTATATCTCATTTCGAACTCAAGTAGCCAGGTTACGTCCGCTTTTTCATGTTTGTTCCATTGAAAAGGACATTTTTTATGAAGTTCTTTAGCGAAGTTATAAGCTAGTTTGGATAGGTGTTCTAATACGCAAATTTGACAATTGCAGTTCTGATCCAGATTTCCAGGGTGCAGACGTAGTAATTGTTTTAGTAACACAAATTCCTCCGAAAATGTGAAAATTCCTGTGTTGTCTACTGTAAGTGCATCATATACATATGTACCACTTTTTGACTTCCTCCATTCGCTTAATTCCATGGTTAAAGTTACTTCATCAGCGTTATATTTTCTTGCAGCGATCGATGTAGACGTTTCATTAAATATAATATAATTTATTGCCGATTCATATTTAAGTTTTTTCTCAAAAGTTTTTGTTTTCCATTTTAATATATTAATTTTTGATGTTAAAAGTGAATGATTAAGATCATATTTTTTTGCAATTTTTTCAATATTAGCCTTTTTTACTAAAACATTTGCTAAAACCTTTTTGGCTGCTATGTTGAGCTTTGCGTTCACTTTTAGATGTTCTTCAATCTTTATTCTCATCTCACGTCTTTCTCTTTCTTTAATCTAACGAAATAAAGCAAATAATTAAAACATTTTATGTGATATATAGGGGTACATTGTAAATTGAAAATCGGTAAATTTGTCTTCGCGATTTTTATCTTCACACATTTTCACATTCAAGTATATATATTCTTTTTTGAAACATTTTTTTTAAATATTATATAAAATGAACTTTAACGTTGCTCAGAATCTCACAGTGTATTTGTATTTTTTTTTATTTAAAATTTTTTAATAATTCTAAAATAATATATGATTAACTCGATATACTTACGTTAATAACTGGTGATGGTCCACTGTATTCTGACAAATCGGATAGTGTAGTATGTGGGTCCGACACTTCTTCTTCGGTTAATGATGGAGATTTCGAATCGGTCGGCGAAGCATTATCTATTTTGCACTCTTTAGCAGTCTTGAACTTGGATATTTCTTCGGTATATTTTATTATGAAATTATACAGCCAGGACAAGTTCGCTTTGTTGTTCTTCCATATTTGAGGACATTTTTCGTTTTGCTGGGCTAAATTGTACGCAATACTTCGTGGTTGTTGCATTGCGCAAACTTGACAAATACATGGACTTTCTTGTCTCTTTTCCCAGGCTTTTAATTCTTTCAATAACAAAGATTCCTCATTAAATGTAAAAACTCCATTCTTTTCTGAAAGTTTGTCATATGTATATATCTCTTTATTTAATTTTAAACGCAAACATTTCACAGATTCTTTAAGCAGTGTTAACAAATCATCAATTCCATTGTTTCTAGCAGCATCCTCTAAAGGTTCATTGTTAAATACAAAATTGTTTACTGCTTTATGAAACTTTTTTTTTTGTCTCATAATCGTTTTTTTGCTGCAATATATTTAGTTTCAACTTCAATGCCGAAAATTCAATATTATAGAGACGTGAGGCATATATTATATCTGTGTTAGCTGTTAAATTATAAAAAATCTCTTTCGCTCTTTTATGAACCTGATGGTTCAATTCCAGGTGATTTTGAATCGCATTTCTGATGTTAAAATAAGCCATTATTGATACCTATCGAAATATAGCAAATATATAATTAAAGCATTATCTATGTTATATGATGGAAATAAAAAGGGTATATATATATATATTAAGATAATAATTAAGATAATATACATTAAGATAAAAATTGCAAGATTATTCTCGTGATTTTCGTCTTACTATACTTTAATCGCTTTTGTTCACGATTTTCTCTATCGACATTCAAAAATATATTCTTTCTTGAAACAAAGTTTTTCAAAATAATATAATAACATTGTACAAAATTTCACAGCGTATTTGAATTTATCTTTATTTTAATTACTCTTTTATATAAATACATAAAATGTCATTAAAATACACTTACAAAATGATATATATAAATATAAATTCAAATTTTACTGAAAATATCAAGCAATACTGACTAATAAATTCTTTTTTATCTATCGATAAACAGAAGCGGTCTAACAAAATGTCACGAAAGCAAAATAACTAAAGTATGCATGTGTGATATAATGGATAACAGCAATATATTGTAATTTGGCAGCTGTAAGATTATTCTTGCTATTTTTATCTTACGACATTTGAAATGTCTTGTCCGAATGCACATATCGTCATTCAAGTATATATATATTTTTATAACGATGAATTTTAATACATATATTATATATGGAATAACATTAACATTGCACAAAATCTATTGTGTGTTAGAATATTCCTTTTTTTCTAAAAACCTTTTAAATTATAAAATAATAATTAATTATAATAATTAATTATGAAATAATGTTATTAAAATAATACTTAAAAATAATATGCTTACAAGTCAATTCAAATTTAATTGGAAATATTAAGCAACTGACTAACGGTGGAATATCTTGTGTTTATCTGCTGACTAACAGAAGCGTACTGATGATGAAATTCAGTGTTACGAACGATGAAATCAAAAGAAAATTCAAAATATAAGCAAAACCTAAAGCTATAGTTTACATTTCTTTATATAATATCTATGAATATAGCGATGGCGAATAAATGATATTTGAAATTACTGTTCACGAATTAATTATTACATTCAGTATTTTTATTTACCTTTGCTAATGAAGTTTGATCAACATTTAAAACAGTTTATTTTGAAATTATTTTTATTACTTACGGTCTTTAACTAAAATAAAATATTTGCTAAAGAAACTGAACGAGAGCATTCTTTTCTTCATATATATGTACATATTTTTCAAGTAATTAAAAAAATTTTTTATACATACATAGATATATATATATATATATATATATATACATATAAAATATATATATATACATATAAAATATATATATATGTATATAAAATATTATATATATATATATACGTAATATGGTATATATGTATATATAATATATTAAAACTGTTATATATACAATGTTATATATATATATATATATGTGTGTATATATATATATATATATTATATATATATATAGATATATATGAAGATATAAATTAATTAATACTCTCTATCAGGGACATTAAAAATTCATGGGAATTCATACATTATAAAAAGTTTAAGCAATTGATAATAATTATATATCCTGTAGATTAATTTGTGATCAAGATTTCTTTGCAGACTATTCGAAGTACTTGATATCGAAATTTACTGTTAATTTAATGAAGGTTGTTCCAAATGATCCAAATGATCACATTGACGATATTTAGAAATCTCTATGTTATGTCTCATTTCAAATTCATATATCCACAATTCGTCCGCTTTTGCAATTGCATGCCATTCAACAGGACAGCGTTTGTCAATTGTTTGTGTGGCAAATCTATAAGCCATACTACGTAGATATTCCAATACGCAAATTTGACAATTACAGTTTAGGTTTTTAGTATCCTGTTGTAATTGTTCCAGTAAAATAGATTCCTGTGAAAATGTAAAAATTTCATCGTCCATTGTAAATGCTTCATATGTGATAATATTGCTTTCTAAATTTCTCCACTGTTCCCAGTTTTCTTCTATAATTTCTTCATCAATGTTATATTTCTTTGCTGCACAGGATGTAGATATATTATTATATTTAATATCATTTAATGACGATTCAATCTTATTTTTCGTATCCAATTGTGTTCTCTTAAATTTTAATATATACACTTTTCGATTCAAAAGCCAAAGATCAAGTTTATAATCTCGTGCAACACTTGCTATATATTTGTTTTCATTTAAAACTTTTTCAGCTGCTTTGTCGAGTTGACTACTCCATTTTAAATGTGTTGCAATCCTTTTTTGCACGTTGTCATTTTTAGTTACATCAGCCTATAACGAAATAAAGCAATCAATTAATTAATGCATTCTATATGAAGGAAAAAATAAGGGGTACATTGTAAGATAAAAATCGTCAATTTTGTTTATCTATTATTTACACATTTTATATCATACATACATTTTGCATCTATCGATATTCAAGAGATCTTTCGATAGTCAAGATTTTTTTTATATATATATATATATATATATATATATATTGTATAAAATAATGTTAACATTGCGCAGAATCTCACAGTATAGCTACTTGAATTTCTCTTTACTTTAACAAATCTTTCAGCTAATTCTAACATAATATGATTAACACAAAATGATACTTACGTTGGATGATTGCAACGGTTCGAAATCTTCTTGCACTTGGACGTGCAAAGTATTTATTTCCGAAATTTTTGGTCGAATGAATGACAACGAAAGTTGTGATGCTGAAAGCTCTTTCGTGCAGGAATGAGCAAACACGAATTGAGTCTTGATTTCTATGCTATATCTCATTTCGAACTCGCAGAACCAGAATTCGTCCGCTTCTTCGTTTATATCCCATTCGGAAGGATATAGGATTTTATTCATTTTGGCAAATGAATACGTCAACTTGAGTAAGTGTTCCATTGTGCAAACCTGACAAGAGCATTTAAATAAACAACGCTTCCAACTATTTAATAATTGCAATAATGATTTTTCCTGAGAAGCTGTAAAAATTCCATTAGGGTTTATAATTTGGTCATATGTGTATGATTTTCTGGTTTTTCTACGTAGCTGGAGATATTTCATAAACTCTGCTTCTAGATGTTTTTTATTAATGCAATGTATTTTTGCATTCTCAGTTAGACTTGCATTTTGATTTACAATTGTACATATTGCATTTTCATACTTGTTTTTTACATTTACATAAATATTGGTCTCTTTTATTATCTCTAGTTTTCGTTTAAAAATCCAAAAATCAAGATTATATTTTAGTGCAACATCTGTTATATTTTTGTTTTCATATAAAACTTCTTTCGCTGCTTTGTTGAGCCAAGGACTCATTTCTAAATGTCTTACAATCTTTTCTCTGATATCGGATATTACTTGAACCTAACAAAATAATAAGCAAATAATTAAAACATACTATGACATGATGCGAATAAAAAATTATATATATATATTTTCTTAAAACATTCTTCGTGGAATAATATAAACATTACACAAAATTTCAGTATATTTAAATTCCTCTTTATAAAAAAATCTTTATATTAATTATATAAAATAAATTATACTTACGTTGGATAATTGCGAAGGTTTATTTTGCACATGAGGGTACAAAATAATTAGATCCGAAATTTCTTCAATTTCTCGATTGAATATGAAAGATTGCAATGTGCTCGATGTTTGGGAATCTATTATGCATTCATCAGGCCCATTCAATTTAAAAATCTCTTCGATGTATTCCATTATGAAGTTAGACAACCAGGATAAATCCGCTTTTTCACATTTTAACCACGTTTCAGGACATTTATTTTTTTTCTTTGCAATACAATAAGCAATACTTTGTAGTTGTTCCATTGCGCAAACTTGACAAGGGCATTTACAATTTTTTTCCCATCTATATAATTGTTTGAATAACAAAGATTCCTCCACAAATGTAAAAATTTCGTTCTTATCTTCGTCATATTCGTAGGAAACAGAATCCTCTGAGTTCAGCCAATTATGATATACTTTTTCTAGTTCTTCGATGTCAAGTTCATGCTTAAATGCAGCAACAGATAAATAATCGATTTTATGAAAAACATCTTTTACTGCTGTTTCCATCTTTTCTTTTTTATCCAAATAAGATTTTTTCTTCTTCAACATATTTATTTTAATAGTCAATGCCGTATAATCTTGCCGACACAGAGATGCAATGCATTTTAAATCTGTATCATTAAAATGTAAAACTGCTTTTGCTAGCATGTCGATTAGATAGCTGGATTCCAGTTGTTTTTTAATACTTTCTCTGATACCGAACATCATAGAAACCTATAAGAGAAAATGAAGCAAATAATAAAGACATTATATACATGTAATATAGTGGAAAAAAGGAAAATAAAAATTTGCAAGATAATTCTTATAATTTTTATCTTCAAACATTTCAAACGTTTTATCCGATATAGTATATCTATTGATATTGAAAAGGATATATATTCAAAACATTATGTAAAATAATGTTAACATTGCATTACATATCACACTGTATTTCTCTATATATTTTAAAAACTCTTAAAAATTATAAAATAAAATGTCATTTAATATATAATATATATAATACTTACGAAATAATGTTTAAAAATAGAATCCAATATACTAGAAATTAAGTATGAAAAATCAAGCAACTGACTTATATATTAATGTTCTATATGTGTCTACTTATCTGCTAATAAACATAAGCGAACTAACAATGTCACGAGTCAGCAAAGTCAGAAAATCTAAAATATAGGGTGTATATATATATATATATATATATATATATATATAAAACATAAATATATGTTAAAATTGCGCGACAGACTCATCTATCATCCGCGTCTCGTTCTTTCTCATTGAAATTTAAATATGAATATAAATATTTTTACATTGAAAGATCTTAGTCAATATTAATTAATTAATTTATGTCTTATAATTGAATAATATATATAATATACTTCATCAAATTTGAATTGTATATAATATAATTGAAAGTAAATTTTTTAAATTTTAATATATTTTATCACTATATATGTACATATTTACAATAATGAAAATTCCATTTTGTGATGTAAGTATACGCTTTAAAATAAAACATACGAAATTCGCTGGGTGGTCAATTATAATTTCTTTTATAGTGAAATTAATTCATTTTTTATTTGAATTAAGAATTAGTCACGATTCGCAATTGCAGAGGTCGTTTCTCTCGTTTCTATCGGTCGAAATCTGAACGAAGGAACGCTCGGACTCGGACTTGTTCGGTTCGGACTCTTCGTGTAGATCTTTCGCTGAAAATGGTGAGGATGAATTTATATCATTTCGAATCGATTAATTTCGCAGTCATCTTAATAATCAACCGAATTATCGTCGTGGAAAAGATGTCCTGAATTTTAATAGAATCGATGTAATCGAATAGTATTAGGCGAGAAAAGTCTTGATCTTTTTGTCGATATCGTCACGATATCAGAGTTATAGGTTATGAAAATGTGTACGCAAATACATTTACATCTAGAAGATATTTTTCACTTATTCGTTTATTATTAAAGAAATAAATTTCTGTCATTTTATTCGTCATATACGTATTTTAAAAAATTTTTTTAAGTTAAATTTGGACATCGAGTGCAATATTACAGGTTATATTAACCTGTGCGTTTCTCTTTGATGTTCACAGACGAAAGGTACATCCAGTTTTGGTAAGCGGCGTAATAAGACGCACACATTGTGCAGGAGATGTGGACGCAGTTCTTATCACATCCAAAAGTCGCAATGTGCTCAGTGCGGTTACCCAGCTAAAAAGATGCGTTCGTGTAAGTATAAATTTACATAGAGAACTGTTTGTTATGTGCCTTATTCGGTTATTGAACATATTTAATATATCTCTTAATTCATTATTAGTTGAATTAAATTGTAATTAAATTATAACATTAAATATGATATTAATTGAATCCTTCCTGTGTGGATGACTGTATACAGACAACTGGTCGGTGAAAGCAAAGAGGAGGAAGACCACTGGTACTGGCCGTATGCGTCATCTTAAGATTGTTCGCCGTAAATTCAAGTGAGTCATACTGATTAACTTATTCGAAACAATAATTATTGAATATTAAAATGGTTAAGCAAAAAAAAAGTACATTATAGAAATTGTTTTGCTATTTTCTTGTTATTTTCTAATCGTAGTTGAATGGGAACTATGTTCTGTATTATTTAATTTATGCGATAATTGGCACATATTTGGGTATATATCTATAATTATTTCGTACATCTGTAGGAATGGATTCAGGGAAGGCTTGCCAAAACCCAAAGCTGTTGCAGCTAAGTAATCCACGACTATCCATAATTAAGTTGTAAAATTTCGACTACCAATAAAAAAGTTTTAAATGCAATTGCATTATTATCATTTCGATGAAAGTTCCTTGTAATCATATTAATGGATAGAATGGATTCTTGCATTTATTAGTAGTAAAATGTTCAGTTCCAAGAGATATTTATAATCACAATATATCATTGCAAATTTTATGTTAGTATTAAATCTCGAGCTTTATGAGCACTTTTATTATATCATCTAAAGTTTTGAATCTCTTGATCTTATACAAATAAAATTTGAGAAATTATATATATATTAATAATGTTGCGTTTAAATAAGACGTAGCTTAAGAGTATGCACATAGAAAAAGAGAGGTTGTTATCATAGTTCCGTTTTTTCATTAATACATCGAGTAGCGTTTACAAACATGTGAGATGAGCTCCTGATAAATCTGTATCTTTGTGTGTTATATCATATCTGACAAGAGAGAAAATTTGAAGAAATGCGCGATCGGGAAGAGATAAGGCGCGTCGTTTGTACTGCGCAACCTCTACGGAATTTTTAATTGTCGCGACGTCCCATATATTTAACGGACTCGCGACCTCGCTAAACAGTACAGTTGGATGCACGATGATAACTCGGGTGATCGGTGCAACTCCATCGTGCATCTAGGGGCGTCCGCCGACAGCACTGCATCTGAGGACGATTAATCTTCAGTCAGCCAGGCCGAGAGTTATGCCACGCCATAGTATCCAGCGAACATTTCGTCTTCACAAACACCAAAGAATTAAGAAGAACCGCTTGATTAAATAGCAATAAATTTAAAAAGAAAAGAAGGAAAACGAAAGCAATCAAGGATCGAGCGTTATCCTATCGATGCGTTATTTCTGTAACGTATATGGCAACTCGGAAAAAAATAATTCGATTCAGAGAAAAGAGGTTTTAAGTAATATTTCCTTTTACATATAATCCCCAAGGAATATTTAATTACAGAAGCTTTTCGTTTTTATCTGTTGTAATAACAAAAAAGCAATTCAAGTTTATACAAATTAGAGATTTTTATAACATACAATTCTTTACAAATGGGTGTTTTTCGTCAGCTATTGTTTGGTAAGTTTATGCCTTTTGTTTCTAAATGTTATATTCTTATTGGTGTAATAAATTTATAATTTTGCATTTTTAAAATATAGTAGCTATTTTTTAATCACTATATGTCCCGCATTATCTAGGTAAATATCTGTTAATTACCAATACCGTGAGTTGCGGCTTAATGATGGCAGCAGGAGATGTAATCCAGCAGCGCAGTGAATATTGGAAGAAGTATTCTAGCAAATATTTCCCGACTAGCGTAATGGCAGCTTCGCCGGAGGACAAAGAGACGACTGCAATTTCCAGCACATTTGCGTATGGACACGATTACGCGAGGACCAGGAACATGACAGTTGTCGGACTGATTCAAGGTCCATTTCATCATTGGTTCTACACGATCTTAGACAGAGTTTTGCCGGGCAGAAGCGCAAAGTCGGTAATTAAGAAAACTCTTCTCGATCAGTCGATCGCGAGTCCTACGTGCCTAGCAATATTCTTCGTCGGCCTCGGAATTCTGGAACATCGCAAAGTCGAGGAAATCTGCAAGGAACTGAAATTAAAGTTCGGCGACACGTGGAAAGTATGTAAGACCCAGGAAACTACCTGTGTATTTTAATCACTATTTTAATAATTTTATTACAAAGATCAAATATATTTATAATTATTAAATAACAATTAAAATATGGAAATCATTACTGAAAATATTTTCTTATATATAATAATGTGTATAAATAATTTATTGAAATACTGTTATCTGTGTTATAGGTTGACTGTTGTTTTTGGCCTCCTACGCAATGCATCAACTTTCTCTTTGTGCCCTTACATTATCGAGTACTTTACACGAATGCTATGACGATGGTCTATGATGTTTTTTTATCTTATATAAAATATGTAAGTTTTTCTTTTGTATATGTTTTTCTTATTGTGATGTTATATGGAAATTACAAAAAATTGTATATTCTCATTTCATGTATAGGATGCTCATTTTGAATGAAGAGAGAAAGAAATCTCATGGGACTAGTCTGAATGAAGAAAGCTGCGAAGCATGTGTTATAAATATATAAATTTGTATTATTATGAATTATAATACGTAATGATATATAAGCAATAAAACGTTATCAGAAAGTTTCCAAGTAAGATTGCTGTATCTTCCCGTTTCGATCCCTTATCGCGCGATCTGGCATTTATTTATTGTCTGTTGATTTTTACAAAATGATAAATAATCTATTAGTTCCTGTTTGTGTTTATTTGATGAGATACATGTAAAAAACTATTGATAACAATAAAACGAGAGCGCAGATAATAATGGAAGAAAATAACAGTGTAACCTTAATTACAATTGCATTATAATTAATATCGTAGCATAATATTTTCCTGTTTTTAAGAAATAGAAATTCAATTTTTTTTATTCTCAATTAAACAAGTTTTATTTTGCTAATCTTCGATTTTAACTTGCTTCAGAGAATTGAAGCCTAAAAATTAAATTCAAATTCAAATGTAACTATATAATTGATATGCTTACATCGTTTTTTGTTTTATTCGAACAAGTTTATTTTGACATGTAATTTATATCTGAATAAATGGGAAAGCTTTTTCTCATCAGTATAAATAAATTATTTGTATGCGAAAAATGCGATATATTGTGAAATATAGCGACAATTAATTAATTGTAAGAACCGAAATTGGCTCATCGGACACGATGCGTATCCCAAAACAATCTACGACGATATTGCCACCTTATCATTGTGCACAATAATCATTGAGTTTATTTATTTGCTCGACAGCTTTTGTTTGGCATTTGGCGACAGCGGGATTACGAAGTCTTTCTAACCAGCCAGACGCCGTCACGAGCACAAATACGATTAATGGACATAAATACAAACACACAAATAAATTCAACGTCGTGCAAGACAAACAATCTATGGAAATGTGCGATTCGATAACAATAAATTGCTTGAGTACTGTCATCACTTTTCGCGTCTTCCCCTTCTTCCCTCTATTTCTTTCATTAATGGGAACACGATAAGAATAATGACCCGGTAAGCAAAAATCATTGACACGATTACAACGTGACATTCAGTGTAACGTGTAAAATTTTAATGTAATTCTTACTGTGCATATGTTATTCGTAGACCGATTGTGTATTAGCAAGAAACATTCAATAGATATTTATTTATTATTTATATATATTTATTCATTATTCGAAGGTATGAAAAAGATTTCTAAAATATTTTTGCCATATTTAAAAATTTTATAAAAAAATGTGTATGTTGAATTTTTCAGAAAATGTGCATAAAAATCGAAAGCATCTAATATTTTTTAATATACATTGAGTATATGAATGTGTATACATATGTAAAAAAAATAGAACGATTAATTGCAAGATAAATCTGGGTTACGTCGCGTTATTATTAGCATTTTTCAAATAGAGAAGATTATTGCACGTGTAAGATTTTAAAATGTACCTGTCCTATATAATCTCTTATTGTTAGGTACCTTCGCTTATCTTACTGCATCTTCCGATGCACAATTTAGTCTCGTTAGTTTTTTTTTATACTTTGATAGATTATCAGTGATATACAATCGATAATGTAATGGAAATTTTTCAATTCTCATCCTCGAGATAATAATCTTCCTCGTGTATCAATATATAATATCCTTCCTTTGTATTATGTCAGTGATCTTTGGCCGCGAAATTCGGTTGCACCATAAATGACGAAATGCTAATCGGAATTCCGATAAGAGAAGACTTATTCATCGATCTTATCGATGATTCTATTTATCTTTTTCTTTATTAAATTCTTTATTTATTAATCATATCATGCAAATATGCATGATTATTTGAATGGATAAACGTGTTACCAAAAAATGCATCGATAACGAATAGAGAATTTATATAGGAGTGCATCTATAAAAATTTACATTATTTTTATTACGCACTTTTATATATTATTCACGATATAATAATATTAATAATAATCATGATATCATAATTCATTTCATAAAAAAATAATATTAATAGTAATTAACTACAATATTAATAATATATATATATAGTATATATATTTAGAAATTAATAAAATTATTCAATCTAAATTGTAGAAATTAATGAAATGTATTATTCAAATCTTTATTTTCTAATTTTTTCTTTATATAAACATTTATAAAAATTATATATATAATATGCATTTAAATAAATATTTATATAAAGAAAAAAATTAGAAAGTAAAAATATAACCACATGTGTAAAGCGTAATAATAATAATCCTCCCTCCCGCTCGGTTCAAATCTATTATTCTAACATCTAACAAAGCATGTTGCGCTAAAGTATAGTCACCTATGCGCGTTCGCGCATAATAATGCAATGTACCTGTTGCGCGTTGTCGAACCTAAACGCGCATCGCACGTGTTCATCAAGCCTCTGGTTCTCCGCGTTTAAATTTTCTCTCTCCATTTCTCATCTGTATCCGCATCCCGGTCGACGGCAATTACATGTACAATATATATGAGAAAAATTCTCTCGTTCGATATTCAAAAATCTGAGACTTAGAGGAGGCGCGTCGTCGCGCGTTCAAATTTTCCCGCGCAAACGCGGTCCGTTCCCGCGTTCCAGTTTGACAGGTGGCGAGCGCGTGGTACGCGGAACGCGGAGCCCCCGGCGATTTACAATCATAAACTACACACGGGTTCGCTCCGTGTGTGTGCGCGCGCGTATCCGTGCACAATCGCGTATACATGTGTGCCCGTACTTATCCGCAGGAGCGTGGTTTTATTATGATTTTTGAGCGCCAGGTGGCCGACGTTTTTGTTGTCGATTTGCCGCTGTCGGCGGTGCGGCACGGCTCCCTCTCCCTCAGCGCCATTACATCGATAAATGTCACCGCGGCGGCCGCGAGTGTGAACGCCGTCAAGAGAGAGACCGCCGCCGAGTTTTCTCTTCGCCCGAGTTGCGACCCTCCCCCTTCTCGTCGCTCCACGCTGCCCCGGAGGAAGAACCACGACCGAGAGGATGTCGACCAAGCGGAAGAGCGTGTCGGGCGGCAAGTCCAAGAACCGTCCCAAGTCGCGCAAAGTCGAGTACGACGAGGAGGACATTTCGAGCGAGCACGAGTCGGAGGTCGACGACGCTGAGGCCGGCTCCATCGCCGACGGCGAGGACGCCGTCCCCGAGGACACCCTCGCTGATGTGTCGAATATACCGGAGTTGCCGGCCCCGGAGGTGAGAAGAGAAAGAGTCTCCTTGTCTCTTCCTCTCCGTGTCTTTTTCCCCTCCCGTGAGATTTTCATAGACGCCTCCCACCCGGCGACGCGACGCGGAAAGCGGTTCGCGTTGCTTCGAACGGCAATTTAATTGCGTTACGAGCTTTATTTATTGTCGGCTCGTTTGAGAATTGTCGAATATTTTATTTGACGTGTAAAATAGTTAAAATGTACTTATATAGGTAATGCTTGATATTTTGGAATTGTATTCAGTCAAAATTTTCTAATTCTTTGTAATTGTTTACGTTAAGCTGTAAGATGTTAATTATTAGCATACAATTTTTGAAAATTGAAAAATAAACAGATAAGATGGATTATTTTGTTACATAAATTTAATTTATAAAACTTATACTATTGGATCACTTATACAAAAATGTATTTGATAAAATGTCCGCTGCAGTGTACACCTGCAAAAATAACTAAATGAAGTCTGTTTTTTTTTACTAGGGTGGCTGGGGCAAGCCTGGAACATTGCTCATGTGTGGCCTTACTAATTGGGAAATGGCTGGTCGTAAAGCACCGCCTAAAGGAGTAAAGGCGAATGTAGGGCGCAGTTTGTGGACGCCACATACCTTCAAAAACTTGAATAATGCAAAAATACGGCTGATTGCATCTGGTCCTGCCGCTTCCCACAGCATTATTGTTACCGAGGACGACAAATGTTTGGCCTTTGGCAGAAATGATAAAGGTAAATTTTACATTACTATAACTAGATACAGGTGCATACTTTTGTTTGTTAAATTAGCAAATTTGTATACAGATTTATTTATAACACAGGATGAATGTTGCATGAAAATTTTATATTCATTATTGTACCTATATTAAAAGCTTTCCAAATTTGACATATGTCAAATTCAAACTTTGCTTACACATGTAGCTATATTTTTTTTTTTTCATCAATGCAGCATTGCGTTGAGACTTTATAATTTATAATAGGTCAATTGGGCGTTGGGGATACGAAACGTCGTGACGAGCCAACCGAGGTCGAAGCCTTAAAGGGACACACAGTCATAGGGGCATCATGCGGTCGCAATCATACCTTATTTTTGACAAGCCGAGGTATAGTTTTTGCCGCTGGCGACAATAAACTGGGTCAATGCGGAGTCGGCAAGAATGACCCCTGTGTTGTGACCGCCAGCAAGGTGAAGTATTCCGGACCACCGATAGTAAAAGTAGGATGCGGCGCGGAGTTCTCGATGATCCTGGACATCAAGGGCGGCCTGCACTCCTTCGGATGCCCTGAGTATGGCGCCCTGGGCCACAATACGGACGGCAAATATTTTGTAACGAATACCAAGATGGCATTTCATTACGAGAAAGCGCCTAAGCGTATTGTTTTGTATGTCGAGAGAGGCAAGGACGGCCACGCGATACCATTGGATCGCGTCGAGATCACGGACTTTAGCTGCGGTCATTATCACACCGTCGCCATCGACAGCAAGAATCGCGCCTTCTCCTGGGGATTCGGCGGGATCGGCCGCCTGGGCCACAACGAGCAACGCGACGAGTTGGTACCGCGTCTGATCAAGTTTCTAGAGCCGCCCAGTCGCGGGGTCCGCGCGGTTTATTGCGGGAGCACGTACAGCATCGCGATCAACGTGCACGGATCCGCCCTAATGTTCGGTCAGACCAAACGCACGGGCGAGGCCAACATGTATCCCAAGCCCATTCAGGATTTATCCGGTTGGGAGATTCGATGCGTCGGTTGCTCGCAAACAAGCGTCGTCGTCGCAGCCGATGATTCCGTTATCGCATGGGGCGCCAGCCCTACATTCGGAGAATTGGTAAGCTATAAATACTTGGAAAAATACAATAAAATATAAATAATACAGAATAATCTTTAGAATTATATATTTAAATTGCATAACTGAGAATATTCTTTAATTGTTTTCTGATATAATTTACGATTCCTTTTAGGGTTTCGGTGAAATGCGAAAGTCATCGACGACTCCGATGGAGGTGAAAGCTTTGGAAGGTTTATACATTACCGCTGTCACATGCGGTTTATCTCATACGCTTATGATCTGCCGAGACGATACCGAGGAAGAAAGGGCCAAGATTAATAAGCTGGAGGTGTACTCTGTTTAAGGTATGAAAAGTGTATTTCCTCGTTTGTGTAAACGAGTTTCTATTCGCACTATACAGATGATCGAAACGAAAGGAAGAGTTGTCGTTTTGAACGAGATTCACAGCCACCAGGTGTGACCAGTTTTAACGGAGAATGATCCAGGAATGATAACAGTAGATCGCCAGAAACGTCCAGGAAAGATATATAGGATTAGCTATTACTCTACTTTGTACTTCCAGTTTTTACTTAACGCGCGCGAATGAAAGTCAATCTGTGTGTAACATTTGAGACCCATTCTGTTAGCAGCTCAGGATATAGACCAAACAAGATAGATGCAAAAAGATATATTTTGATACGTTGCTATTTTATTGAAGTTTGTCGTAATTTTCACCAGAAATAGTGATCTTTATGAAGAAGTTGGAGAAGAGAACATTGGAAAGAGAACGTTATAGAATTTAGCAGTGACTGCCTTTATTTTTATCGATTTGCCTTTCTTAATCGATTTACATATTCAAATAGTTTATATCATTGATTCATCACAGTAGTACCTGAATCATTACATCTGCAGGAATCGTTTTTACAAATTATGTACAAGAATAATCTTTGTACATAATAAATGCGAGTGAGCTATTCTCCAAGTAGATAATATAATACAAATCTATGTGAATTCTACATCTTTTAACATGTATTTCGTTAAAATTTAAGGAAAATAATTTAATAATTTTTTTTATGTGAAACGTCATTTATACGAAGGTACATGTATCATTTAATATATATTATAATAATAATGAATTTTATACGTAATCTATTATAATAATAGATTCTATATATTATTATATATATAATCTATTATTAAAAAATATTAATTTTAACAAACGTTTTATATATTATAAAGTGATACAAGAGAGCTGTGGAAGTTACGAGTTTCTTTTGTTGTATTAGTAACGAATTCAGGCGACTGACATATACGTATCTCGCATTTTAGAGTACTTTTTTGTTCAAGATAAGTCGTATAGCACACATTCTCGTATACCATTGTCGTAGAAAACGCGTTAAAAAACGTTTGGTCGAGTACACACTAAGAAATTAACGAACCAGAAAGTGCGTTCACAGTACCTTTTTGTACCAATGAACTTGCAACACCGATCACTGCCAGACTGTATTATGAATATCTTTCATTGTGATGCCAGACATTCATTCCATTCCGTTCCACGTAATACTCTCGTGCGATCTTCGCATTGAAATATTGTTCTGATAAACTTGCGATAAATGTACAAGTCCAAATACGAAATAAACGAATTTTTTAAGAAATTTAAATAGTTCTATTTAGCAATTTTTTGAAGAAATGTTTGTTCAACAATTTTCAAAACAGCTGTTCAAAATTTTATTTTTTTTACTGCTTAATATGATCGCTTTTTTTGTACATTTATTTTGCTTGCACTGATATTGGCACTCTTGTACACTTCCAACAACGCTCTTTAATGCGATGCAATTTTTGTCGCTCTAAACACATGTTACAAATGATATCTTTCATAGCAGCTTCATTTAGACGTCTAATGGCATCTTCTTCTTCGCGCTTACGTTTTTCCTAATTATTTATGTGATTGCAATGAAAAGCGAACTTTCTTAAACTATCAGTTATGTTAATTTATTAATTTTAAATATTTTTTTTACCACAAGTCTTTGATCCATTATTATCGTAGCAGAAGCGACAAATTGTTGAGCATTATGTACTTCCTCTTCTGGAACATTACCATATTTCCAACGTAACAATTGTTGAGCTATGTAATGAATAGGATCTGAAGGCAGATACTTTAAAGCTTTACCTATTGCCCACGATAGAGGCACCATCACATTTTGTCTATGCATTTGGATTATGTAATTCATGACACATTGTATTTTTAATTGTATTTTAAATTTATATATTATATTTTAGATTCTTATCATTTATTTTAAAAGGCTCCAAAATACCTTAAGTAATCGTTTCTCTTCAGAGTTTTATCATCCTTTCCTTTTGACAATAAATTCAAATAACAGGTGCAAGCGCCAGAATTGTATCGCGTTATGGAAGAAACGCTCGATAAAGGAGCTGCTTTATTTAAGCTGCAAGAAGAAAATAACTTTAACGAAGGACTATCGACTGCAGTTTCAGATGCTGTTTGTGCTTCCAGGGGAACAGAATGTGATTCTAGTATAGTCAGACTGCATTCACACAATATTTCCTGTAAATTATTTCAACTTGATATATATATTTTTATGTGTATGCAATACGTTTTATATTCTTTAAAATCACTTAGAAAGGAATACCTCAGTTACTTGTAAAACTTTCTTTTCTTTGTATTCATTATATCCGAGATCAATTAGCATATTTTCAACCTCATCATCAATACCGTTCTCTTTTACATAACAAAGAGTATCTTCATTTATTCCAAGCTCTTTTAAGAAACTTATCATTGTTGGTGTAACCGGCTTGGATTTCCACGTCCAGCTCAAGATTTCTGGGACATCAATGCCGCTCGATAAAAGTCGATACAATATATTTTTATCCTGAGATACTAGCCCGCACATAATGATATTCCAGCATTGATTTTCAGTTAATCCAGTAACAATAAGATTCCAAATCAGTTTGTCATCAAGTTTTTTTTCCATCCATGTATCTTTTGTCTCTACACCAAAATCTTGAAAATATTTCAGTTCTTCAGAAGTGAGACTAATGAGACCGTATTTGATTGCCTTTATAATGCTGTGTGGCGACATACCTAAAATTTATCATTCAATGTGCAAAATGATGAAGAAAAATAAAAGGAAGAAGGTAATACCTTTTTCTTCTAGTTTCAGTAAGACAAACTCGTTATATACTCCACTGTGAATAATAAAGTTTAACTTATTAAATGATTCATCATATTGCGCATTGGTATACACAGGTAAAGATTTAATTTTGTCACGTTGTACAAGTTTGTCTTCAAGCAAACTGAGTAATTTCTCGTTGCTCCATTTACCATAAATTAACATTCCTTTATTTGTTAATTTTATATGCAATTTTGTTTCACATAATGTATATACATCTTTATCTATTATATTTTGTGGATCTGACATTTTTAGAAAGATGTGGGTCAAATGAAAATATTAGTTTGAATCATTTACATATCAAATGTCAAAATACGAGCTAATTATTTAGGCAATTGTTATAAAAAGTGTGACAAATTCGTTTTTTTATATTAAAATAATGAATATATAGAACACACAACACATATTCAGAAAATTTTTTATTTACAAATAGAATAAATTATTGTAGAATTAATGTATCAATTTATATATATAATATCACCATCATGCAATTATATAGTGAAATTTCTATTAAGTCCCCTTTTCGAAACAGTATATATTTATGACGAGATTATAGTCTAAAAATTAGCACAATATATGATGTAGTAACAAAACAGGATTCCTAAATACATTTTTACAGTATAATACATGTTTTTCAAATATAACAATAATATGCGTCAAGCGCACGTACTGTGCACAACATAAAATGGTAAACATAACTAAAGATTATAAAAATTGTCGAGTTTTATTTGTACAAAAATGTGATTAACAGAATATCTATGGCCTATACAGAAATGAATAAATTATTATTTATAATTTTTCCTTATTGTTAGTATAATACATTATTGTGTTTACATAAAGAAAATTTCATTAATTTTTTTTACACCATAGATTTTTACATCAGATTCAAGATTTAGTTTCCAACAATAGTTGGTATGTGTATATGAATGTAAGTGTAAAAGCACATCTTACAAAACTATTTTCTAATAAGTTTTGTAAGATTCGAATGCATAGCATATATGAAGTGATGATGTACCATGTGATATATTCCATATTGTTTTTCAGAATTTACTTTTTTGTGCAGTCTCTCATTCTTAACACATTTATCGTAACAAACATGCATTTTTTTATAACACCATGATTATAGCAAACTGCAGTAACAATTTGAGGCTGCATCTTGCTGTGGTTGATCGTTGACCAACTGCATTCCTCTTTTTCCCATTCGATGCCTCACACCACCCATGCTGCCATTGTCGTACAATCGTGTAGAGTAAGTATCCCATAGGCCAGGTGTTTGTATAATCTGTACCCATGCAATATTATATTGTGTAATTAATAAAACATATAATTCAATATAGTCTTTCTTTTTCAGGAAATATAGAATGTAGAGCAATACTATAAAGTCCTAACCTTTTGTACAAGTTCTTCGAAGCAACACTTGACGCCATCTGCTGTTTTTGCACTACTCTCAATGTACAAGGTCTGATGTCTTCTGGCAAATTGCAGACCTTCCTCGGTACTCACTTCTCTATGTGGCAGATCTATTTTGTTACCCACTACCATCTTTACAATATCTGTTCTATTGCAGTATGTATTTAATTCATTAAGCCATGTCTCTAATTTTACAAAAGTATTTCGATCCGTGACATCGTACATTAAAATAGCACCCTGACCGTCTCTGTAGTAACTGGGTGTTAAGGTACGAAATCGCTCTTGACCTGCAGTATCCTATAAAAAGAAAAATAACACACTTCAGTTAAATCCAAGATACACGCAATAAGAAGCGTAAATTACGTTATCTTTCCTCCTCGAGGAATAACACAATAACAAACCCAAATTGCAAGCTTCACTGTATTGCCATCGATGACTATGTGCTTGGTTTTGTAATCCATCCCGACTGTGCTTTGCATATTCTCGCAAAATTCATCATCGGTGAATCTCAGGAGTATGCTGGAAATAATAATTGCAGCTGATTAATCTCGAGTAACGGCGTAAAAAAAGCGGAACGAAGTAGAAACGCGTTTGTTACAGATACCTCGACTTTCCCACGTTAGATTCACCTATCATGAGAATTTTCAGTATCGTTAGAACATCCTCCTGATCCATAATGACGCGATTACCGATTCCCTCTCGGCGATATTAAGGCTGGGAAAAACACTTTGGACAGACTACAGTACACCAATTTTTTTAACTAACGTCGTCAATTTACATACATTGACACCGCTCCGCTGCCTATGAATGCACTCGCGATCAACAAAAGTACGTCACGAAACATGATAGGCGCACGAATCTGCACGAATACAATGACTGGAGGATCTCGAGGCGATAGAGTGGGGGAAGCGATTTCCCTCGGAGCCTGACAGATGACGCTGCTTACTTTCAAACTGCGGAAAACATTATCGACATCGAGAAACTCATCATATGAAATTTTCCGTTTAATTTGCAAGTTTCGTTAATTAACGGCGAGGCATTATTAGGGATTATCATTAAACTAAATAATGAGAAATTCGCAATAATGTGCTATATCGATCATAGATGCAATTATAGAGTTTTCACTTTCCTCAGAAAATTAATATTCATTATTGAATCATACGTAATAATCGTCATAATTTGTAATTATATAGTCGATATTAAGAATTCATATAATTATGTTATAAATTAATCAGCAATTTTGCCGATCTCGATTAATCGCGCATAATAAATTTATCGCGAGTGTGAAGGAGAGAGAGAAAGAAAGAGTGACAGGAGGGGAGGGCACGCGACTATGCGAGAGCGGATTTTTGTCACTATTCTCCGCGAGTAGTGCTGTCGGCGGCGGCGGCGGCGGCGCGGCGAGAGCTAAAAGCACGAACTAAGCGAAGTAGAAAAAAAGATGGCCGCCGCGAGGCTGCCATGAAGGGGCCGCGTCGCTGCTCGCGCTCGCGGAAATGGGACGTTGCGACATCCGAGTGTCATCGTCGTCTCAGTGAAGGAGTGTCAAGCGAGGTGGTGGTGATACACCGTGGTGCCGGGGCGAGGGTGACGTGTGAGGCCGAGGGTGAGGAATAGAAGAAGGTGGTGAAGTGCAGTGACGAGGCCAAGTGCGCACCTCGTCGCGACGACGACGACGACGAAGGAAACGTCAAACCAGTCGACGGCAAGTCAGCCGGAGATCCGCCCGGAGATGGCATCCGATGGGTAAGGACGGTCCTAAGACTAAGAAGGAGACTAAGGAGATAGAGAAGGAGAGAGATGGAGAATGCCTGTGGCCTAGCCTCGTTAAACTGCACTTGTCTCGCGTACTCGGCTGCACCCGAGGTGCAGCGGCATTCGTTGTTCTAGGGAAAACGCGGCCGTCGCCGCGGGACCGACGGTGTTCGCAGATCGATAGTGAATTTTTTTTAGTCACCCGTCCCAGTTTTCTCCCTCTCTCCGTCCTCGGCCGTCTCTACTCTGCGCTCTCTTTCTCTCTCTTTCTCTTTATGTATGTTCTATCCGTTCTTTTTTCCTTACGTACGTACATACTTGCAAAGAGAAAGAAGACACCGCGGCATCGTCTTTCTCGATGATAACCGAGTGATTTCCTCCTTCACGGCGCTTTCGCAGTGAAGTTAGTCGCGATTGGGCGGGTCTCCCTGGCGCGCACATTTTCGCAGTCCACGCTTATTGTTAGAGAACCTCTCGTCCGCTGTCAAAAGCGCGTTCCACGTTTTTCTTTTCTTTCTTTTTTTTTTTTTTCAATTCATATCCCTCTCGATATCGCGGCCTCTCCAATCCTCCTTTTTTTTTCTCCTCCGTTCTCTTTTTTCCTTCCCTCTTCGCGCGCGCTCTCTCGATTTACGCGCGAATGGATTACCGCGGCCTATTTCAGCCAATTAAACGGCCAGCATGACATCAGAACGGTCGGCTGATCCTCTCTCGTTGTACCGCGGCCCAGCATTCCTATCAATTTGCGGGAGCCGTCATTCAGGGCGAACGAAGTGGGGCGAGGCGGTTGGACGGGCGAAACACCCTCCTTTCTTGCGCGCCCCGATTATTATCGTCGCCCTCCGTTGGCCTCCGGACGTACGAGAGTATCGTCGCGAATCTCGAACGGCGATTCCCCTCCCTCCACCCTCCCTCTGTTTTCCAGCCTCCCTTCTGCCTCTCTTTTACCCCCTGCCTGTTTGTGTAGGGAGGGTGATTTTTTCCTCCCTCGAGAGAAAGAGAGTTCGTCGTTCTAATTAGTTCACCGATAAATAGAGCTTGCTTTAACGCTTGTGTACTTCGCGCACTACGTCTTCGCCCTGAAGTTCCGAGAAGTTTGTCGGAGAAATCGCGATTTCGGTGTCCACCGAGTGTGGAGAAAGAGTAAATAATTAAAAAAAAAAGAAAAAAATGTGAGGACGATATTTCTGTCCGCGAGATACATTTTGACATATCGATCCCGCCTTATCCCGATATATTATCGCTTAAAGTGCATAAATATTTATACGCCATTTTTTTTGGAGTGATAAGAGGACTGTCTCGAGGAGTCCGCGAGTAGCCCGATGTAAGAAGTGAAAGTTTTTCAGGGGAAAAGAGCGATTTAGTTGCGTAAGGTCCGATACAGTTCGTCCCTGATTACTTTAGGACAGGCGCGTTCGCGAATACCAGAAGATATTCAATAATTTTTCCCGGCTGACACGCAGATATATTAATGGATGATAATTACAGTAGGATGGAATGGGTGGAGATCATAGAACCGCGCACGAAGGAACATATGTACGCTAACCTGACCACCGGAGAATGCGTATGGGATCCTCCACCGGGTGTACCTGTGTAAGCTATTTTATATCTCTTCTTCAATAGTAGCTACCGTTCAAGTGTCCCTTCTCTCAGAGCTTCTGTCAAAGTATTTATTTCTATTACTATTATAGATAATTTATTAAAAATTAATTTACAAAATTATTACATTAACTTTTCTTATATATATTAACTTAATTTTTATTATAAAATTAATCAGGATTTTTTTCTAACTGTGTTTTTTATAATAAATTTATTATAAATTTATTAAAATCTCTTTAACAGATGATACATGCTTAATTATTTTAAAAGTTAAAGTTGAATCTAATGTCTCTTCTCACAGAGCTTTTGTCAAAGTACTTCTCTCTGTTACTATTAGATAATTTATAAAAAATTTATCACTCTTTTTCTAAACATGTATTTTTTTATAATAGATTCATTATAAATTTATTAAAATCTCTTTCACAGATGATACATGTTTAATTATTTTAAAAGCTAGAGTTGAATCTATAATGTCTCTATTGGAATAAAATAGTATATAATCTCGGTTACGCTTGGTTACGCATGTTTAAGATTGATTACATATATTAATAAATTATCTCAAAGTATATCACATAGTTTCATTGTATAATTATTTTAGAGAAAGTTATGTTAGAGAGAAAGTACCGAGTCACCTCTTCGACATCACGATACATAACTATATATAACGCATTTCCCATTTAATAATTTATAGAAAAAAGACGGACAACAATCAATGGTGGGAGTTATTCGATCAGAACACCTCGCGATTTTACTATTACAACGCGACGTCTCAGAAAACTGTGTGGCATCGCCCGACCGACTGTGACATCATACCATTGGCGAAACTTCAGGTAAAGGATACATTTATACGATATGATGTTCTCTATATCGCTGATAAGTTCCCGATACGATTTATTTCTATATAACAAGTCAAAGTTGAACACATATGTGTATGTATGTGAATCATGTGACATAAGTTAACTTATTAAGCGTTAGAATACAGATAAAAGATTGTATTCCAATTCGGGGACTTGAATTCTTCGAATTCATCGTGAAAAATTTTCATGTTTACACTTATAAATTAAATAAATTCTGTAGAATATTCGGCAAATATCAAAGCTAAACGCATATATGTGTAGGTACGTGAATCGTATGACATAAGTTAACTTATCGAACGTTAGAATACAGATAAGAGATTGTACTCCAATTCGGGGACTTGATATCTTCCTTACTCATCACGAAGAATCTTCATGTTCACGCTTATCGATCGAATAAATTTGCAGAGTATTTCACAAACGTCAAAGTTGAGTACACATATGTACGTGAATCATATAACATTTAACTTATCGAGCGTTAAAATACATATAAAAAATTTTACTCCAATTTGGGGACTTGAATTCTTCGAATTCATCAGAAAAATCTTCATATTTACGCTTATGGATCGAATAAAATCTGTAGAGTATTCGACAAATGTTAAAGTTGGCACATATACATATATATATATATGTACGTGAATCATATGACATTTAACTTATCGAGCGTTAGAACACAGATAAAAGATCGTGCTCCAATTCGGGGACTTGAATCTTTCTTCGGAATCTTCTCTTCGTAAACTCACGCTTATGGATCAAATAAAATCTGTCGAGTATTCGACATTACGTTCTTGCGTGATGATGCGGCCACGATGTGTGTGCGTAAAATGATTTGTGAGTTTCTCCGGGTAAAACGCACATTACATAGAACTCGTGTATCTTAAAGTGGCATGGTAGATGTGTAAGAGTGTGTGCAAGCGCGTCTGCTCTCTTCTCTTCGGCTATAAATAGACGTTTGTAGCAGGGAGAAAAAACTCCGGTTTACATTATACCGTGCTATATACTACCGTAAGACTTCTTTCGCACGTAATGTTATTCCTTCAATTAAAATTTGACGAGAATACGAGTGCCAGATGTCCGAGGGCGATATCCTCTTTTGTGCCACCTGTACGCCGAAATATAACGGATTGTAAAATTTTTAGATGAGATAATACTTAATTCACACACATACACACGCACAATTTAAATTGTGATTTTTCATATGTTTTGTACATAAATATTTTCTTTTTATAACATTTACTATCTTTCTTATTTTTAGGTACAATATAGGATCATCTTAATCAATTGTCTATAAAAAGATGACATTATATTATTAGTTACCATTTTCCATTCATTAATTTATCTGGGTACATTTTATATTCGTATTATAGACGTTAAAACAAAATACGGAGCCGGCAAGTGGTAGCACCTCTGATACTTCGAAAACAACCGAACAGAGGAAAAAAGAATCCGTTTCTACGCAGACGCAAACTCCCTCGGTTAGCCGGTCGACGCGATTTAACCACCAGGAGAATACGAACTTGGCTCCGCCTTTGGTAAATTTAATTTTTCTACAATTATTATCTTGATTACGATAAATCTTTCGAGAGTCTGCATAGCTACGTTTTCTCTCGTAGCAATCTCTTTCTCTCGGTAATGCGAACAAAACGCGGACTTCTACGGTCGGCGTAGATCTTCAGACTTCTCCTCCTTCCCCGTCTCCGTCAGCGAGGCGACATCATCATCATCATCATCATCACAATAACAGGCATCATAGGCACCATGAGGTACCTGCGACACGTACCAGGCAGCAGAATCACTCGCAGGACTCTGGTAGATCCAGCGACAGTTCCGTCTCGCACAGTAGGACCTCTTTGGAGTCGACCGGTTATCGTTTGTTGGATTCGCCGCACCGTCATCATCATCGTTCGGCTACCCAGACGCCGGCGAGCACCGCACAATCTTCCCTAGGCAGCACAGTAGCAGCGGCACCCTGGAGGCCAGGTGCCACAAGAGCGGAACTTTAGAAAGCGTGAAGAATCAGAAGTCCGTCTCGATGGGAGAACCACCGCCGTTGGGCTTATCGCTTTCGACTAGCACGCCCCTCTTTAAGAAGAAGACGTTCAGCGATCCACAACGCGAAGGTAGGGCGGGAAACTTTGACCTGGACAAAAGTAAAAATGGTAAGGGTGTATATCTCATACGTTTCTACACTGCCATTGTAATTATTTATTTGTTATATATAAATTTTAAGCATGTAAACAACAATAACCTTGTTTGTGTACAAATCGATATCTTTCGATTTTCAGGTAGAGAAAGTAGTAGAGGCTCGTATGGTCCTGAGCCAAGTACCTCACCATATCGCGAGTCTCTTATGGAGTCTCGGGTCTTTAGGCAGGAAATGCCGCCGTATCGTCCGCCGGAAGTTCAACTTAGCCATAGTTACAAGCCGCTGAGTGAAAAGTATGGTTCCTTAATGGACAGTGGCAATCGTTACCATAGAGATAGAGATAGAGAAATGCAGCAGCAACAGCAACAGCAGCAACGAGAACGGGTCAACAGTCTCGACAAGACGAACCCGTCAGCCTTTTATCAGAGTTCCATGCATTCGAGAAATATGAATAAGCAGCCGCAGGATGGCACAGGTAGCATAGGTAGGAGACATCACGGATGCTCGGCATCGCTTTCGGAGGCAAATGTCAGAGACATGTACGGTGCAATGTTGTCCGAGAGGAACGATCCCGCCAAAAGCCTCGGCAGGGCTGCCGGCATACACAGTAGTGGTAATTCAACGAAGCAGAGAGGAGGTCTGGAGGCGGTGGAGCGCGAGAGAGAGCGGGACCGCGACAGAGAGAAGGAGTATAGGCGAAACGCAGCGTGCAATAATTCACTGGACTGTAAGCGAGATAATCTATCAACTTCTTTCGTCATTTTCCTGTATGTGCATACGTCTTTTGTAATATACGGTTGATTATTATTTTGCAAGGTGTACCGCAGCCGTTGGGTCGCAGTTACAGTTTTGTGCAACAACAAAAGCAACAACAAAAACTGATGCAGCAACAGCTACATCAACAACAACAGCAACAACAGCAGCAGGTTAGAAGAAGAGAACGAGACGACGATGCTATGCACGAACGTTATTTGATGATAAGTCAAACCCACGAACAATCAAGACAGAGACTTAGCAGTAATACTAGCAGTAGTAACAGCAGCAACAGTAGTAGCAATAGCGCTGCAGGCGAGGAGATTGAGGGTCACGCCGAGGGAGACGACAGTAAGAAGAAAAGGAGTAACGGAAATCCCAGTCCGCCACCGTCGCCGTATTACGGCAATCTTCTGGCTGATGCCGATCACCTGTTACCACTGCAACATTATATCCTTCAACAGGCAAAATTATCAGGTAAAATAAAAATCGAAAATTCAAATATTAATAGCTTTATGATGGAGCTTACATCTCACTATTCTTTTTTTTTTCTCTCACGCGTAGGTTGTTACAAGTTTGGAGATCCTTTATTAGTAGAGGAAGGAGAAGATTCTTTGGATGAGGAAGGTGGTGGTAGAGGCGAAGGTGTCAGTGGAAGAGGTGATGACGATTCCGATGATCAATTTGCTGATGACGAAGCCGCTAGCAATCAAGGCGATTCTTCCAGTCAAGAATATCTCGAGGATCATTACGCGGGTGAGGAATACTTTCTAAAAGCATAGAATGTGTAATATATGTTTATCGAACATACAATCTAAAAAATATTCCATTTCATGTTAGATTTAGGGAATTACGATACCGCCGGATTAGCGACTTATTACACCACGGCCGACACGCTGACGAGGCCACAAGCACGACCGCCCTCGCCACCCAATATTGTATCTCAGACGGAAGCTAGAGACAGCGTAGTGACAACAAGGCAGATCTCAATGCCCACCGTAAGTTCAACTCCGAGTATCTGTCTATCAACGAATGTCGATAATACTGACGTGGAGGAAGCGCGAAGAGACGATAGTACGGGCGGCGGCGATATAGAGAAGTACGCGCAGGACAATCTAAATCTGAACTGCGGCAGGCCGAAAGGACTTAGACTGTTGTTTCGAAAGAAATTTAGCGTTCGAGATATTCTCAGTTGGTCGAAAGACCCGATACCTCAGCCCATGCTTGCGATGGTGGACGGTGAAAAGCCGCTCAAGAGGGAGGCTTGCAATCTGTTCCGATTGGTCCAAGTATACATGGGCGATCGCAAGGCCAACGTTGGCATGACGTTGGATGGTGTCGCTATGGATATCGTTAATACTGCATTTACGAAACCACCCTTGCGGGACGAATTGTACGTACAGATCTGTAGACAGACGACGGAAAATCCACGAAAGGAGAGTCTGCGACGCGGATGGGAATTGATGGCTGTGTGTCTAGCTTTTGTGCCGCCTAGCGCCACGTTCGAACCCTATCTAGAGGGTTATATGAATAGGCATCGTGATCCCAACTTTCAGTTCCCCGAGGTCGCCAAGTGGCCGATACACGTACAAGTCAGCCATTATGCGACCGTGGCTTGTAGGCGATTGCAACGAATTGGTGTGCACGGCAAACGACAACCTCGCAAGGCTACAGTGGAGGATATCGACCAAGCAAGGTAATTAAATTGTACCAATAATTTACAATTTTTTTTTGTAATTTTTAAAAGTCTGACGTAAACTTTGCTCTTCTCGCAGATACAAATCTTTCGTGCGTCCATGTTTGGCGCAACGCTCTCGGAAGTCATGGCTTTACAAAGGGACCGCTTTCCACTTAGAGAGTTACCATGGATACAGACTACGCTGACGCATCAGGTGTTGGTGCGCGGTGGCACAGTGACCGAGGGTATCTTCCGGGTGTCTGCGGACGCCGACGAAGTCAGCGCGTTGAAATCCTGCTTGGACAGGTTCGAGGACGGAGCGATACTGGCAGTTTCTCAGGATGCTCACGCGCCCGCCTCCTTACTGAAATTGTGGGTACGCGAGTTGTACGAGCCACTGATACCGGACTCTTTTTATGTGGAATGCGTGTCTATGCGGCACGATGATCCGAAAGCCTCCGCGGGATTTGTGGCCGCGCTTGTCGACCGTTTGCCAGATCTTAATCGACGTGTGTTGTGTCATCTAATACATTTCCTGCAGGTAAGAAATTATTTTATCAATGACTATATGCTTTGAATTTTGCTTTGCGTCAAACCAAATATATTATACACGTTTTGAAGAAAGTCCAAAACTATATGTAGCAATATTTAGCGCTAAATGTACAAGCTTTTATGAAAGTTCATCATTCAAGTCAATTTAGTGATGCTAATTAATAACGCACGATGAAAATGCACGAGAGTTCAAGAGCAGCATGCATTCGAGGCACCGTTGAATTAAAGTCGAGCGAACGTCTCGATGAATCCATTCGTCATGATATAACAATTTTCCAGATATTCGCTAGATCCGAAGTGGTCGTGCGCACTAAAATGGACGCCAATAATCTTGCGATGGTGATGGCGCCGAATGTATTGCGGTGCACGTCCCAAGACCCTCGGGTGATCTTAGAGAACGCGCGGAAGGAGATGGCCTTCGTCCGTACTCTCATCGAGTCACTAGATACCAGTTGGGTCGATGATCTTCACTGACCGCATCCTATCGTGCTAGAAAAAAGTCCGCTCTAGACTATTATGCCAAATGAATCAGCTGTATAGTCACGTCTATTGTTAGTTACGTCTCTCTCTCTCTCTCTCTCTCTCTTTCTCTCTATCTCTTTCTCTCACTGTTCTCGATTTATCTCCACTCTTCTTGTTTGTCCATCGCGTCACCGATTTCTCCCATAGTCCTCTATATAAATGTTCTTCGTAACGGTAATTTAGTGCTAAAGTCTTACCAATCAAGCTAATCAACCAATCCGCTCCCTTATTTCCTATTTATTATTTATATGCAGATTCTATGTTATACGACAGATTAGAGATTATTAGATTATATTATGTATATCGCTATATATATATCATATATATTTTACCAATCCCTTGTTACCGCGTCGAATAACGTGGACGGCTTTTTACTCGATCATTGTTGAATCTCGTGTAAGATAAGAGAAAAAAAATGAAATCATATGTTACCGTGTATAGCTACGCTCCGCGATGATCTTTTTGTATAAGCGACGGATTAACGTGTAAAGCGTTTTATCGAGGAGTAAACACTGCGAAAGATTAGCAAGCTGTAGTCGTAAGGGTGTTTCTTCGATTTTTCCCCAAGAGATCTCCTAAAAAAAGGCACACATACTCCGCTCGAAAAAAGTTCCATATAAAAAAAAATCATACATATTTTATAAAAAAAAAATATCCCTATTTTATTTATATTATGCAACACAACAACATCCATACTTATAATTAATATAACCTTTATTTTTTACATTGCAACAGATATAAAACAGAGTTCACAAAAAATAAGTACTCTTATTTACTAACAAAAATTGCCTTCCATTACATGTTTTGTACAATTCGTTTATAAAGACTATAGGCAAAACTCTCTATTCAGTACAGTTTGTCGTTCTTGAGTAACTGCATTCTGCGCGTTTCTCACGGTTCTTAAAGTTATAAGAGATATCACAAGCTATTATCATATTCGTATCGCGAAAGACAATATGATAATGATGAACAACTATCGTATAAAAATTTATATATCAGTGTACATAATACATAGATCGACGGCTTTAATAAGAGCCTTACAGCAGCAAAACTCTAATCACATATGAAAAAGAGATTAGTTTTATTTGTAACGTTATAGATATATACAACATGTACACATAGTAATTTGTGTAATCCGACAATATAAATTATTATTACAAATTGCCGAAAAAATAAGTTGTAATAAATTAGAGACCGATTCACGATCAGCTGCTTTTCAATTTATCACAATTCGTATTCGACGATTTATAATAATAATTTATAATATTTAATATTGCCGATTTACGACATAATTGATCAATACTAATACTGAAAAAAACATTTTGCGTTATGGGAGAAAAAAATTGCGAAAAGTCAGCGACTTTTCCGTCAAAAGCACAGGGTCGCGTGCTAAAATTTCGCGTTTAAGCGAGCTAAGAATTTCACCTTCTATGATACTCACTGACGGCGATGATAAATCTCTAGGAACTCGATTAAGCGGCGAATCCGTCGCTGAAGAGATTCTAGAGTTCGAAGCGTGTATGTTTATTAGTAGCGGACCGTGTTTGAAGAAAGCGAGCGGGATCGGTCGCGATAAAATAAAAAGAAAGCAAGTCAAACAACGGCATGAAAGGCCTCTTCCCTCATCCGTAGATCATCAGCGAAAGAAATTACGTGATTATGACGGAGGAAACCCTCCATCCTTCCTCTCGCGTGTCTTTTTTCAATTTCGCTTCTTCATCGTCCGCGACTTTCGAGTCATCTGCCTCCGGGTAGACGCACCTGTCGGCGTTTTTTTTATTTTTAATTACTACGCGTCCGAATAAAAACGTTCCCCCTAGGGGACGCGATCGGATCAACAATTGTCGACGAACGTGGCCGTGGATCCGCTCGCGATCTCCGCGTATTCCTGCCTGCTAGCCGAGCAGAGCTTGCTGGAGAAATCCGCCTCCCGTTTTCTAAACACACAAAAGAGAAACAAGATTAGAATATACATGTTATGTACCAGAAATATCACATCTCGTTGAAGAAAATTGGTACCGATGAATGACAAAACAATGACGGTCACGGTTGACTTTCGAAAAGCCGCAGGTACATGTGTATTATAATTTATAAACGCAGACCGTCATGTTTCTGACACCTTTTTTGCACGTATTTGTTCCTCACCCTCTGCCCGGAAGGTCCATGGCATCCACGCTGATGCTGTTGACGTATAATCGGTCGTTGCACCAGAAGAAACACAGGGATCTAGGCTGCAGCACGTCCATGTCATACACCCAGGATAGCTCGATTCGCCTGATCTTGCCGATGTTGCCGATGGACCCGGTCGGATGGGCCACGACTATCCGCGTGGTCGTTCCGTGCTCCAGCTTCATGTAACCGCTGCAGGAAACAGTTGCAACAGCGTTAGGACGTCGGATACGTGGGTTGTAAGTAATTACATAGTAATTTTATAGACCTGTCATCTCGTTTGCGAGATCGTACGTGGGTTCTCGAGAGATGACATCCTTACTTACCTGGGCGTGAGGTCCATGTTGCGTATGACGCCCTTGTCGGCGTGGAGGGTGACCTTCATGAAGCCCTGCACCCAGCTCTCCGCGGTCGGCGGTCGCGCGAGGTTGACGGTGATTCTGTAATGTCTCCCTAAAAGAACGATTATACAGAGATATATGGATATCGAGAAGAGGGGGAGAGTATTTTTCGGATAGAGAGATCGGAGAGAGAGATGTTGTCGCCGCCTTTTATCGCGCGCTCGCGGAGAAAGTGATAGAGAGAAAAGCTGTCTTGCTCGTCGTCTGGTATGTAGTAAAATAATACGGCGGTTCTCGTCGTAGATATTTTCTTCTGCTTTTTTTCTTTCGCGTCGATAGCGTGTAGGATTAATGAAGAATATATGCCTGTGCACGGTAGATCGAATAAACGTCAATTCGTATTAACGTTTGCATATTATAATATGGAAAGTGTTTTTAAAACTCTTACATTTCTCGTACGACACGTTTTACGATGTCGTAATGCCGATTTAGAAGAGGACGCTGTAATGGAAAGCTAGTAGTCGACTATGTTTCTAAATATAGTACTCATTATGTATATATTTTTTTTCTATATATATATATATATATAAAATATAAGTAATTTGTATATATATAATTATATATATTAATTATTAATTATGAATATGATAAATTTGAAAAAAAACAGCTGTAACAGCTGTCATATGTGATTCTCGAGCTTATCGCGATCGCGTTGAACGCGCACAGGCCTTGTACTTACTACAATACGGATCCTCCTTGCCGGTCATGAAGAAGAACTTGGAGCCGAGCAAGGACGAGACGTCCTGTCCCATAGCCTGACGTTTTACCAGTGCCGGACTGTTGTCTGCGTGATATCCCATCACGCCGCAGCTCAGGCTGTTGTTGCTCTTGCAGGAGAAGCATTCCCCTCGTAGAAAGCTCGCGTAATTCGAGCACTCGTGCGCCACGTATTGGCACTTGGAGTTGATGCTCTCGATGAAGAGCTTGAGCGCGCGCACGTGATTGCAGGCGACCAGGACGCGCGAGGCCTCTTCAAGGCCTTCCCGTATTAAAGTCAGGGGTAACGATGGGGTGGTCTCGCTCAGGTCGGTGCAGCCTGGTTGTTCCTTGCCGTTGTTCGGATAGAAATCCAAGTGCCCACATGGCTGGCTCATTCCGTACCCTGGAAGACCTTGTCGTGTATTATGCGTTAGTTCGGACAATTTGTTTATTCATGGCGGAGAGAGGAACTCCAGTTATTCGGGAGGATTTATTAAAATGATAAGTTTTCTTTTTTAAAAAGCGATGAATGTAATATTCGAACATATGTATCTCTCTAGTTTTAATTTGTATGAAATTTATTTGAGTTATTAAATATTTAATTTTTTTTTAAATTATTTAAATATATTTATATATTTTACTATATAAAAGATATACAAAATTATAATTTTTTTTAACAGATATATTTATGATTTATTTTTATTATTAGAGATAATAATTGCAATTTAGCTAGACCTAACATTTATTAATAATTATATAATTTTGACTAAATTATTTTATTCGACATAGAGAGAATTTTTCCTTATAGAATTTATCCTGAAAATCTTGATAATCGTGGAACATTATGGTACTAAAAGAATTTTATAAAAGTTTCTCTGATTAATATTTACCACAATAAAAATATTAATATCTACCACAATAAAATATAATATATGTGCGATTAATTTTACTATGTATTATACATATTAATATTTTTTATTGTGGTAAATATTAATCAGAGAAACTTATGAAATTCTTCCAATACCATAATATTGTCCCACGATTACCATGATTTTCAGGGTAAATTCTATTAGAAAATTCTCTCCATGTAAATATTATTAATTTACAAATTAAAAGATTATTGAATTTTTTTTTTAATTTTACGAACTAATAGACTTGCTTTCTTTAATCCAGCAAATTGTTTGCACGTATATTGCAGTGTTTATTAAAAAAATTATAATTACATAAATTTTCCTATCTTTTATATATTATTATCTTTCAAATGGAGTTCTATTACTCTCCTGTCCTAATTTTTTTTTCGTTTTACGTGCAATTGAATCAAACAAAAACGAAAATTACTGTTTGAGAGACAAAAACGTGATGCGTTTACCTAAGAAAAAATGCTCTTTCCATCGGTGTGAATGACATCCACCAGTCGAGCGTCAGTTGGATCCAGACGAACGTGGTTCGACATTCCTTGAAAGTATGGTTCCGCGGGATCCAAACCGGTGATGCGTCCGATATTTCCACCCAATTTTTCACCCGCGTAACCAGCCGTGTGAGCACCGAGGCTGTGTCCAATCAAGTGCACATCGTCCGGATTCACGTTGTAGTTTGTCTGACATTTTCACAAGAGTAAGAACGAAAGGTTTGAAAATTACACGTACTAATGTTACGTTAATTAAAATTAGAAAATGGAAATTTCTCTGCATACCAGTATTTTTCACTACGAATTTTTGCAATTATTATTGATTAATCATATAGAGAGAGAGAGAGAGAGAGAGAGAGAGAGAGAGAGAGAGATAGAAAGCGAGAGAAAACGTAACAGATTTTACATTTTTTTTTAATATTACATTCTCGGCATTCGATTGTGGAAAACGTATATCGAGTTGTCTAAAAAGAAATGTACAGATCGAGTTCAGCTGGAAACGCGCGCGTTTCTTACTTGCAAGTGTTTAATGAGATGAGCCAACTCGAGTCCAACCAATCTCGTGTTCGCTGTCGCTTGGGTGTACAAAGGCAGACTCCCGCCTGCCCAATCGACCACGATAACGTTATAATCTCCATGCACCAACAATTCGCTCCTCATCTCCTACGGGCGATGCATATTTTGAGAATAATAATGTAGGTAAGAATTTTCGCCATTTGCTTAAGACCTATCTGCTTTATCGGTGTAACTATGTCATTAGGTTGCATAATTTTATTCGCAACAGTTAACGCAATGTGTGTGGCAGAAAATGCGTTGCTTATTTAGCATAATTTATTTAGCTCGCGCTAAGTGATGTGATATTGAGCCGAAGATATGCTGATATCTGTGTGATATTGTACGATATATTTGATTGCAGCACATGCAAAATTTCGATAAAAAAATCCGGAATAAATAAATATACCTATATAATATATAAATATATAAAGGATTAGAAGTTAAATATAAAAAAGAAATTTACCTTGACCCAATTGCTAAGTGGAGTATCTATAAAACCATGTATGATAAATTTGGTTTTTCGCTTAGGATTAAAGTTTGAATTTTCAATCGATTTATCCTTGGCCACTTTTAATATTTGACCCTGAAAGAATCGAAACAGGTTATTGAGTAATCTGATAATCTATTAAAAAAAGAATCGATCATTTTAAGGCATTCAAGAGCATCATCCTCAAAACTCAAGTTTGTCTCGAGATGTCGAAATATATAAGTTTTATTAACTGCTAAAATTAATATGCTACTAATGACAAGAAAATTATTTCCAATCTCTCAGAAATGCATATACATATAATCAAGGAAATAGTATTAATAAGAATTTTTTCCACAGTATCATAAATTTCTCAAACTTTTTTCTTAAACTGCATTAATTAACCGCTTTGTTGCCGCGTCCATTAATTCTAAATTATTATTTTAGTAAAAGTATTTCTTTTTTAATTTTATGATTCAGCGATTTTATGTGATATACATTCGATCGAGTACAGATACTTTATGCGACAAAGGCGTACAAATAAGTTTTCACCGCTGCTTGGATATCATATTCGATAGTGATCTCTCACAGCGGGTTTCCTTCTAGGAATACCCATTAAATTACAAATCAGAGATCTTATCTTTTACGGATATATATACAAGAAATAAAGAACTTCGCGCGCCTCGTGCCATGTGTTCGCCAGCCGCATAATTTTGTTTAATTAATTGAGTTAATTATGATATCTCCACGCGGATTAAACACCGCGCGCGATCGAACAGATACGATAAGAGTCGGATATTTGTTTCTCTCTTTCCCTCAGAAGAAAGGAAAAAGTTTCTCGATTTCGTTTCTCTATACGCACCTCCGTCCAATTATTCCCGCAAGATGAAATCTGACAGGCCGCTAGTGCAATTTGTAGATGTATATAAGCGGTTACGTATGCGGAAATATTTACACCGGATATTTTTCGAGAAATCCGTATAAGTCGTAGGAATTTCAATCTATCCCCAAGTTTCACTTCTTCAATGCATTATATTTGTTCGATGCAAAAAAGATATCGATTGGTTCTTTCGATATTTTTTTCAACAATTTTTTTTCTCTCTACTTACATCCAAGGGATTCTGATTCGTGTAGAGGATGAATCTGGTGTTGATGACGTCCCGCGGCAATGGGAAAACGTTGAGGGGTCGATGAATTAAATGGTACCAGCTCCTAGTGATATTTAGGCAACCCAGCTCGTCGTAGCATCGTGTCTCGTTCTCGACTAGAAAAATATCCAATCTTTTGCAATGATGTGTTAAGTTCTCGCTAAGTTTTTTGCTCGACCGTCTCTCGCGTTCGGCTATCTTGCAACATGACATTCGACAAGATTATTTTTATAGACAAGTCTCGGAGAGATGTCAACGCGCACGTAATGTTATAAAAAAATATAAAGAGCGTTAAAAAAAATTTACTTGTATTGTCTCGTTATAACTGTTTACTCTGCGACTGACATTTCTACAATCACTTGATGTGATGATAATTATAAAGTAGCCAAGGTATGTTGACTTCGATCTTGTCAAGTTTTTTTTACTCGATATTCTCGTTCAAATCACGTTCATCTACCTTGCGACCTGAGATTATTAGAGTTATAAAGAGTTAAAAAAGTTTATAGAGAATTGTCTGACTACGATTGCTCACTCTGCGATTGACATTTCTACAGTCACTTGAGGTGATGATAATTATAAGGCAATCAAGGTATGTTGACTTTGTATTTGCCAAGTTTTCTGACTCAACATTTTTGTCCAAATCGCGTTCATCTATAATATCTTGAGATTATTCTTAGATACGTCTAGATTAGGAGTTAAAAAATTATAGAGAGAACTGTCTCACTACAATTGTTCGCTCTGCGATTGACATTTCTACAATCACTTGATACGATGCTAATTACAAGGTTTGTTGACTTCGTTTTGAATCAACATTTTTATTCGAATCGCGTTCATCTATCTTGAGACCTGAGATTATTCTTGGACAAATAGATTTGAGTTAAAAAAAGAGTTAAAAAAATAGAGAGAATTGTATTGCTAAGACCGTTCGCTCTGCGATTGACATTTCTACAGTGACTTGAGGTGATGATAATTACAAGGCAGCCAAGGTATGTTGACTTCGATCCGATCGCTGCGCGCCCACTGCCAAGGGTCCAGGATTCCAGCGGAGCAGATAACAGGAGCGAATGCAACGAGGAGCAGGACCAGCGCTCCTTCACCGTCTCCTCGTCCGTTCATGCCGCTCCTCCTCATCCTGCGAAGAAGCATAGAATGGGTCGATTGTCATTGAAGTTCACGAGGACGTTGACTTAAAACTGGTAGGTATTACTGACACTTCAGCTGGTCAGCTGATTCTCTTTTACACTCTCTTTTCTTCTGTCACGATTGAGTTCTTCTTAAAATCGGAAGAGCATTATGACGAGATAAACAGATGTGACAAGACTGAAGAAAGGTCGAAGCGATTTGACACTTATATAGTCATTGACGATTTGCCGAAACTCTCGCACAGGAGGGTTGAACAGTTACTAAAATGTCCGAAGGAGGACGACTGCTGAATCTGGAATAGCCGAGCGCGATTTGGTGGGGGCTTTCGAGCTCTCTCGCGAGAGGTGATGAAGGTCTCAATTACATTTTTTATAAGAAAAAAAAAGAAGAATAAATCAGAGAAGGCCGGCCGCAATTCGCGCTATGATCACCTTGAAAAGTGGTGAAAAAAGTTTGTGAAAAAAAGTAAACACCTCTCGCCGCGTCTTTTCTGAAATGACACAGTTTCACACGAATAGCTTTATCGAACTTTTTACTACATCGAGAGATGTGACGAAATGTCGTTGTGCATAGATTAAATTTCAACGTATAAAGCGCATTAAGGATAATGCGCATTTTTTTCCTTCCTTCTTCAAGCTTTTACGTAATGCATTGAATTTCTAACAATGCTTAAGATAAATCTGACGTTAATGTTTCTTGCTAGAGAGAGAAGAAGCCTTTATCTGGCCGGGATTATCGTTACCATAATTGTCCGATATGTATGTACATACCACTACTTCTACTGCGTGTGGCCAGCATGTAATGATACGTTGGTGGTCGCGACAATAGAACGAGGAACAGGAAGACAAAACTTCGCTGGACATCTCGATTACATAATTGCTCTTTGTTGGAGTCTCGGAGACGTCACTTTTCGCTGCACTTATACGATACAGTTAATGACCATTCCGTGATTAATTATACGCTCCTCGAGGATGAATCTTTCCCGTCGTAGGACTCTTGAGTATCGAGAAAACGCGTTGTTCTAGTTTCCTAGAGCCCTCGTTATCTTATGCAACGATCAGGAGCAGACGTTATGTCACTGTACGTGAGTATCGCGCTTTATCGAACCTAGATTATGTCACATACGCGTATCGCACTTACGTGGAGAAGGTTCACGAGTGCAGGGACATCGGCTGCGAGCACATATGTGTATATGTATACGTATATCCTCGAATGCGTCGTTATCGCGCTAAAAAAGTCGTCATTGATAATCGCGCTTTCACCAGGCCGCTGGTGTTCGTTCGTGACAGGAAACGTCGCATACGAATACATTCGACGCTCCGTGACAATCGGTCGGTTTAAGTGCACTCTCCGGTGAACGGATAGGTCACCTCTCGAGTGTATAGTATAGTTTGGATATTTTTCAATCGGCGATCGACCGCGGGAGAGTGCAATTTTATGTCTTATTTCCGTAAAACGGAAATCTTCGTTGTGCGAAATAGATTGACATATCTTCGCAGAATGCGTGATATTATATCATATGTAGGAAAAGCAATTAAATTTATGTATAAATTTTATTTATATATACATTTTTATATGTATAATTTATGTTATAAAATTTTATACATATATAAATTATATATAAAATACATATATATTTAATTGTCTTTTTTCTTTAAGTCCATTGTTTGTAGACAAATGAAAATATTTCTAATTGACACTTTTCTCATGAAAATTATACGGAATTAATTAAAGAGTTGTTTAATATTTTGAAATTAAGCATAATTCTGCCAAATTAAGAGCTACAGAAACACAATTAGATAAACTTCTATTTTTTAATTAATTTCAAAGACCTTGCTTTGAACAAATTTTAATTAAAAAGTTAATTAAATAGTTAATTGCAAAAGAAAATGAATATTCATATTGCTCCAAAGATGTATATATAGCGTTATTTTATATGTCTTGTTAAAGAAACTTTAGAAATGTCAATGTCTCGAAAGCGATTGATTTGGTGAAACTCGTTTGAATATTCTTGACTTGACAATTGGTATAATATGTTTACGATTTTATTGCGCGAAAATATATTGTGGCAGAGAGCTAAGGTATTTGAAAAATGTTTAAACCGATTGCATTACAAATTTCTTATTTTTTCCGTTCGTGATAAATAATTCGAATTAAATTTTTTATAATTTAATTACGCGAAAATATGTTGTCCCAGAATGCTATAGGGCATTTGAGAACCGATTGAATTACAAGTTTCTCATGTTTTCACTAATTATAAATGATTCGAATTTAATTATTTTCTTTATTGTGATTTAATTGCGCGAAGATATATTGTCGCAGAGAATTAGGGCATTTGAGATAAAAGATTTGAGAACCAAATAGAATTATGAGTTTCCTCACTTTTTATTCGTGATTCGAATTTAATTATTTTTATTTTTTATTTTTTTACAAAATCAGGCGAAAACGTATTTAAGAAACGAAAGAATAAGTCGAGACTTGTCGAGCGACGAATATGGACAGTGGTCCTGTGGAATGTCGCGTTATTTTCTGCATTCCGCAGTGAGCAGCTGCATACCAGCTGCATATTCCAGCTGCATATCCCAGCTTTTCTCGCGATTATCGTTAGGCCATTTAATGAGTCACGCGTTTGTCGAGGATTATCTGATTATTATATGTTTTTCGCGCTATTGCACTGTGATTTCCGAATCGTCTTGTATTTCATTTTCGAGTTTTTCGCGCGAAGACAGGAGCCGCCCGATCAAGCGTTCTCGGGCTTTCTGTTTTTGTGCTCTACCACTTTCCCCTAATGAATTTCTGTAATGAATATCCTAGCTAGAGGCAGAATCTCAAATGTGCGTCGTGCCCGTAATTATTTTCAGTCTTTCGAATCGGGCGTATTTAATTGACGTTGATTGCTGAAATTTACGAGGCTCGCGATGTTATTATTTTTTTCCTACCATTCCCTCGGTGTTTCACTTATCATTCGTTCTTATTCAAGTTTAATACACGGATAGTAAGGGACACATTTAAAAATGCACAGATTATTTAGAATAATTATTTGCATAATTTTATGTTTAAACGAAATATTCTTTTTCTCGCGAAACTTAATATTTTACGTTACATTTATATGTAATATGAAATATGATTCAGTAGAAAAAATTAATATTTCTATTTTCGAAAATATTATTTTTTACCTACTTTTGTAACATAGAATGAAATGAAGAAATTAATCGATACACGGAGAGAATTTTCCCTTAGAATTTATCCTGAAAATCATGGTAACGTGGGACAATATAGTATTGGAAGAATTTTATAAGAAAAAATATTTATATGTACATAGTAAATTAATTAAACATATTTTATATCTTATTGTGGTAGATATTAATATTTTTTATTGTGATAAATATGAATCAGAGAAACTCATAAAATTCTTCCAATACCACATTTATCCCACCATGATTTTCAGGATAAATTCTAAGAGAAAAATTCTCTCTGCGCACCTTTCAATCAAACAGCCTTACTCTTGGCACTCCGTACGAAAATTGCAAGCGAGGGAAGCTGCGCGTTTGCGTTTTCTTATTGCTCTCGGAAGTCTCGCGTCACGAGATGTGGGGAACCGAAAGGGAACCGGTCCGTCTTTCTCTCTTTCCGCCGATCTCCGGGCCTCGCATTTCACCCGGGTTGTGTGCGGGTTGTTTGTGCTTCGGGTATTAAATAATTATTATTTCGAAAGCGAGAGTAATCGCGCGCGGTGTGTAACCGGCGCCAAGTCCCAAGTCGAGGAAGGCGCCTCCGTGTTAGTATGGCCCAGATTCGACGTCCTTCCCTGCGGCAATGCTGTACCACTTCCTGTATATCCTTGTGCTCTCTCTCTCTCTCTACTATCGTTTATCTGCAACGCGAGCTGCTCAGGAACGCAGAGCCCGTCCTTTTACGTACCTTCGAACTCGATCTTGGGTCTCGGTTCGCGAAAACAAGTTATATCTTATGCTAAAATGCGTCTGCCTTGAGGGCATCTTCGAAAGATGCCTTTGTTCATTTACGAAAACAATTAATATGATTTAAAACAAGCGCCCGATTTTTTTGTACATAAAACCTTTACGAAAGCTATTTTCTTCTTTTTATTTTTTCAAGTGTGCCAATATTGTGCAATTTTTCTCTCTTACGCCTCGTTGCATGGCGCTTTACCGTGACTAATTTTATAGGAAGTATACGTACTGTCGTCCTGCAAAAACGCATTTTTCAGCGTTCTCTTTACCACTGATTATATTTCTTTTATTTTTTTTTACAACTTGCATCAGCATTAACTCTGCGAATTTGTTGATTTTAATCCGTACAGATCGTATATGAGAAAGCGCGCGACGCGCGAAATCTTCTCTCTGAAAGGTTCCATCACGATGAAATGCTTCATTAGGATTCCAATTAAAAGAAATGCATCATCATTTCATGTTATACATTTGAATGCAATTTTTCTAAAAGCGTAGAGAGTACATTCCTCGTACGGCGATAGACGGGTTTCAAATGTGTATAGATTAATATAAAAATGAATGAACAAAATTCTATTCTTCTTCCATTCTAAAGTCATTATTTGTAATTTGACAGAAGAAATATTTTACATAAACACTTTCCATTTCAAATAGTACAATATTTCGTCCCAAATTGTCTCTTATTTTAATTGCTTTACGTTTATTATCAACTGATTGATTATTTCATAATTTAGCATGCGAATGATTTTTAATGGCTTTATTTTAAATTACAAAGATATTGAAATGCTAAAAGGCTGAAAATTCTAAAATAAACAAGAGATGTATACATAGAACATACATAGGACAAAGTACGAATCTTCTATTCAGTAAACAGTTATTGTTGGATCGACATCAACATTGATTAGTCATGAATTAAAAATTGTAATAAAAAAGGATAACTATGTCGCAACACTCGTTTCTCGTGTTCGACGACGCTAATGAATAATTCACAGGACAACAAACTCTTTTGGATTCCGGTCAA